CGCCTTCATTATTGTCGAATTAAAACGATTCCAGTGCGCGCATGCACGCACGCGCGTTTCTAATTCTAATCGGCGAGCTATCATCTTATCATGTTCCATTTAAAATGTCGAACAAAGCGTACTTGCGCACTTTAATAACGCACGCTGATGATTCACATCTCTTTATCAACCTATCCCCTTGAGGAGGTATTTTTCGACGTGGAAGTGCAATTAATTGCTGATTGGTGTAATAAAACCGGATGGTACCCGAGGCGCTTTCATCGTGTGCGCGCTTGTCGAAGAATTTCTTTGTTCCTGCAAGTTCAGCGGCCTTGCTGCATTGGTTTTCTTTTATTGTGGCTTGGACTGAGTCACAATCTTTTGCGTAGGACTAATTTTATTATTTTTATGTTTTTTAAATTATTTTTGTATAAGAAGTGTATGTATGTATGTAGCGCCATCTATGGTTTGGTAGTTTTGATATTTTAACACAGGTTAAATTTAAATTTACGCGGATTCACGCATTGCACGCACGCATTCTTTGTTATAAATATAAATAGACGTCATATTATTTTGCCTCGACGACGTGCTTTGTATGGTTTCCAGTTTCCACGATTTGTGCGTTCCGCGAACTTGTTATATCTATTTCTATCATTCTATCATTGGATGAACTTCGCTGCAATCTCATTTCTCATCTTCACTTTCGTTTTTCACTCGATATATATTGTGAATTGCTTCCTTGCTTTGTTTTGTGATTTTCTTCGAGTTATGGGTAACCATAGCTAATTATTAATTACTTTAATACCGTATGCAATTTCTTCATTTTCTTTTCATCTAATGACTAGTCTATTCCGAGTTTCTAATACTCTCCGGCGTGTCATTGTTTTTGTTTTGTGCGCAGCCGCGTTTTATTTTATTGCACGCTTCTTAATTGGATTTCTAATTTATTTCACTACTACCTACGCTACAGGTACGCATTATTGCTGCGTGTGTTGTTTTGTTTTGTCGTTACGGCGTAGATAAGGACAATTATTTTACGTGTTGCTAACTACTTATCATGCCAAGTTTAAGTTTAAGTGTAAGTATAAGTATTAAATTAGCAAAGTGAAATTTGATGTGGATTAAAATGGAAATGTGCGAAGTTTTCGAAGAACATTAAACTGAAACTGAAAGTTTAAGGTGTGGTGTGTCTTTGTTACTTTACTTAGATTTAGTAGGAAATGTGTTTGACACTTGTACCGCATCTCAATCATAGGTTTAATAATAAAATGGTTCAAGTGAGAATTAATTTTCTTATCTGTATAAAAGTAGAAAACAATAAACGTGTAGTTTACAACTTGAGAAATTGATGGTTCAATGATATTATTGTTTGGCATTGCCCAAGAGATAAACGATAATTTCGTGACTCGTTAAACTTTACGTGTCTATTGCGATTTGGCACTGAGTGAAATTTTGATTGGAATTTCGTGAAGTCACGAGGTTTCAATTGATGTCAAACGTGTATTTAAAATATTTTAGAAGTAGATAATGATGGACTTTTGAATGCATTCCTAGTTCACCATCTGACGCCTCTTTTTTTATTAATAATTTCTCCGTTGTGTTTTTTTAAATATTTTTTTGTATTTATTTCTTTGCGGTTGGAATTTTTCTGTTTGCTTTCATTTTGTATCGTCTGCGGTTGCAAACGCCAGCCGCCGCGTGCGTTATTATCCTATAAATTTTCATTCCGTCTACATTGCGTTCAAGAAGAAAGTCCAAACGGGAGTAAATGAAGTGTGCACTCATTACCTATTAATCGCTGTAATTACAGCGCTAATTTTAGCGCGCGCGTAAAAGTGAATCGATGAGTTTAATAAATAAATTGCTAATTGTTGGTAATTAATAATACTAGCCATATTGTGATATTTTAATTGGTCGCTTAAGCGGCGTGTTGAAATTTAAATTTAAATTGTTAAACAGAGTTTTTGGGCAACAAGCGAGCGGAGAATGTTAAGGTTTGCGAAATGCGATAAATTTGAGTTTAATTATTTGAGGAACAAGCGGTTTCTAATTATTTCGCAAGTTGGAAATTTTACACATTATTAAATACCACTTTTTTTGTAAATATGTATTTACAGGAAAAGAAAACACGAAAATAAAATCTAAAAAAGGTGTAACTGACCTTGGCAATAATATTTAAAAAGAGGTTTATTTTTTTTCAACATTTCTACGATGATTTACAGCCATGATTGCGAAATTTCGTGTATTTTTCGATGTGAATTATTTATGCTAATCTACAAACTTAATTAACCTAAGCACAGAGTTATCTAATCGTTTAATGGGATTTTTTTCTTCAGTTTTTTTTTTATTATTTATTAAGGTGCGAACTTTTTTTACAACTTATTCATTCAGTTTATTTTATTATTTTATAGACTTGTGTAAAATGCAATTAATTAAATGAAAAACTATTGTTTGATTTGATCTAGAAAAAAACTGATTGCGAAACTGCTTGTTTTTGTTTTTAGCGCAGTAAATATTTCGATGCTTAATTAATTTTTAAAGCATCATCAGACAAAACGAATTTTTCCTTGATCTTTTTTTCGCTGCTCGCCAGGCGTAAATTACATTTTCTCGCGCGGCGCGAAATGATGCAAAAAGCACCTCTAATAAGCAAACACTTTTTGCACTGAACTCGGAACAAAATGGAGTAGCGCCAGACGAAAATTATTTATACGAGTCTGGCGCGCATAACCTTGATAACAGTAGTTTAACATTGTCCGCAGTGTCGCGAGTCGTCCCCGCGACGCTCAGATTTATTCGCAAATGTTTTGCGCGCTGCAATCTTTTTTTTTCGGTTGGGCGCGCTAAGGTGAGGCGCCAATTTCATATCGCGTACACGTTTACACCAACACCAACACTAAAATTCGTAATCGTAAACAGGAAAAAGTACATAACGCATTTCGTATGCAAACGATTTGGGTTTTTGTGTGTGTATGTGTTTGTTCGCACGGTTCTTACGTTGGAAACGTCCTCCAATTGCTCGAAAAGTTTATGTACGTACGGTACACGGCTATATTTAGATAACGCACGCCCAAAATGTTTAACAAAACAAACGCGCACGCCGCACCAGAAGTCCGAAATGCGCGAATCGCGCAAAAGCCGCGCGGTGATTAATCATCGTTATTGGGGAAGCGATTCGTATTCGGAAAAATATGATTGTAATTTTTTTGTTGTTGGATCAAATATGGTTTTATCGCTAACACCATGCTGAAATGTGTTATTTATGGTTATAATCATATTAATCAAGCCACTGATTGAACGTTTTAAATGCATATTATAAAATATACGGCTAGTCAAAGCATTAGATTAATTTTAATATATGCAACCAATTATACACGCATAAAACGTTGTTTTTTGGCTTGAAAGACGCGGAATTCCGCAATAGCTTCGCAATTTCGCAGTAAGATAATAAACACGAACCTGGCAAATCACAACACCCGTGGAGGTATTTGCAAGACGATCAAAACAGCCGTAAACACCGATGAATATAGAAATAACAATCGTAAACACCAATCGCAAATTGATGAAAAACAAAAAATAAATATAATTTAAGTATTTTGCGTTTAAGTATTGATTAATCTGATATTAAGAGCATAGATATAAAATAATAAAAATTAAAAAAAAAACATTTTATCCTGCGTGTATTATCACTAAATTTGTAGCGGGTAACACGAAAAAAAATAACCACCGAACCTATCTCGCATCGAACGAAAACGAAAGTCTGAATGTCAAGGTTGTTTACATGGCGCAGCGTTCATACTCGTAATCGCGTTGATATCACATCACATACGATGAACAACGTAATATCGGCGCTGGTTTTTTTTCCTCTCCCATTGGCGAAACGATGCCGAAAAGATCTCCAGCGAGTTCAAGCCCTGCGGCGATTAAATGCTGCAGCAGGTTTTACTACACTCTTTGTATATGTGTATGGTGAGGTGTGTGAACAGTACTGTTCCTTAATTAAAGCCGAACGTACCGTGTGGTTAGTGCAATCATTAATGCATTTAACATTAACCACGACACGCGAGTAATTAATTTCGAATTATTTTTAGAACTTATTATTTGAATATTGCACTTTATTCACTGAAAAACACGACATAATCATGTTTAAATCATGTCACTGGGTGATTTTAATTAATTCTAGTTTTGTAATCGTATCAATCGCTAATTAATTCTCATTACGACGTATTAGCATTTTGTTTAGTCACTCATTGTTCATAAATTTCTTTCTGCTACATTTACGCGAATCAACTGTACGTTTTATACGTTCTGCGAAAATCATTTATTTCTTACGAAACAATAAATGTTGTATACGCTTGATAAATTTTTTTTTACAATCTGTACTTTGTAATGCAAATTGCAAGTGTTGCAATCATGTAAATTTTTATTTCTCATTTTTATTGATAAATATAACGCGATAAGTTTACGACGTCGTGGAAAAATGCACTGTAATGCTGCGAGCATTAAAATTGTACATAAATCTTGGATTTGCCCAACGTCAACAGTCAACAATTGTATTGTGATTAGTAATTAATTGCGCATCGTACGACATTAATTTAATTACATACTGGGTCATATTACTTAAGCGTCGCAATAATCATTAATATTTTTCGGCGGCGCGCTCGATGTCGCAAAATTCAAACTTGTGTCCCACTTTCCTGTCGAAGACAAAAAAATTCAAGGCTACTCGGCGCACGCACACGCAGCCGTAAGACACATATGATATTTCGTGTAATTTTTTATGATTGTGGTCTGCGAGTGTAATTATTACTTAATTCGGCACATTACCCGGCTCGGCGGCTGGCACTCTGGCGCGGCGTGAAAGTGAATTTTGTTTCGATTCTTTGAAAAATTTCGCAGTAGTCGCGTGGATACGGCTGACGCAGCTCGCTTAGCTCGCCCATGTGATTTGAATTTGTGTGATGTGTTTGATTGTTGTCGGCGTGGTTGTGTTGTGTATCATTGGCGTTTTTCGCTTGCAGATCTATCTGCACTGCAACAAGGGGAAAGACGAGGTGAGCCAACTTGTAGCGGCGAAGACATCCGGGGCCACACCACTTGTCATCGCCTGTCGGAATGGACACTATGAAGTCGCCGAGTATTTGATTGAGAACTGTAATGCGGATATTGAACAGCCAGGATCAGGTAATGTGTATTTTTATCTAAAAAAATCGAAAAAATTAATTTTTTACTTTTTAGTAATGTTTGATGGTGAGACAATAGAAGGTGCACCACCTTTATGGTGTGCCGCCGCCGCCGGATATCTTGAAATCGTCCAGCTGCTTATCTATAACGGTGCCAAAGTTAACAGCACAACACGAACGAATTCCACTCCGCTGCGCGCGGCATGTTTCGACGGACACATTGATATTGTTAAATTTCTAATCGCGCACGGAGCAGGTATTTATCTATCACGACGCTAACGTCTGCAAATCTCAATCACAATGCCTTTCGTTTGTATTTTTAGATATCGAAGTGGCGAATCGTCACGGACATACGTGTCTAATGATTGCATGCTATAAGGGTCACATCCGGATCGCGAAATACCTCCTCAAGCTGAAAGCCAGCGTCAATCGGAAGAGCGTCAAAGGCAATACGGCGCTGCATGATTGCGCCGAGTCTGGCAGTCTGGAAGTGCTCAAACTGCTCATCGAGCACGGCGGCACCATGGACGTCGATTCCTACGGTACGACTTATATCGTAAATCGAATTTCGTTTTTCTTCGTGCCATTAAATTTTATTGGATGCTTTTTTTTTCACGCTGTGATTTATTTTCGTAGGCATGACGCCATTGTTGGCTGCAGCGGTGACCGGCCATAATCATATTGTAGAATATTTAATCAAATTGCCGCACCTGGTGTCGCGTAAGGAGCGCATCGACGCGTTGGAGCTCCTGGGTGCCACCTACGTCGATAAAAAACGTGATATGATTGGCGCCCTTATGTATTGGAAACGCGCCATGGAGGACAGGTATAAATATATTTCTTAAGCGAGAAAAGAAATAAATCCTGATGTTTTTTTGTGTGTAGATATAATGGTGATCCGCCGATACTCAAGCAGCGAACGCAAAAGTAGCCGCGTATGATTTCGCTGTGGAAATCACCGATCCAGAGGGTCTGGATGATCTCATGGCTGATCCGGACGAGATGCGAATGCAGGCGCTGGTAATGCGTGAGCGTATCCTCGGCCCAGCACACCCCGACACCAGTTATTACATCCGTTACCGAGGGGCTGTCTATGCGGACGCTGGCAAGTTCAATCGCTGCATAGAACTGTGGAATTACGCGCTGGATATGCAGCAGTCGATGCTGGAACCGCTGAATCCAATGACGCAAAGCAGTCTGTTTAGTTTTACTGAACTCTTCTCGTTCATGATGGGCGAGGAAGGTAAACCCACGACTCGTGGTCGTGTTGTACCACCAGTGGAGTTTAAAGAACTGCTTCGGGTGTTTACTAAAGCTGTAAAAGAAGTAGAACTTGGTAATTTAATGCTGGAGCGTATGCCAAACGCTGATCGTGATGTAACGTACCTCAATCGTGTGCTGGTTATTACTTTACACTTGGCCTGCCTGCTGACTAGACTGCTCGACCAACACCCGGAGGATGAACGCATTTCGGATGAAATCCACCGCGCTATTTACAGTCTTGTGCGGTTGAAGATACGCAGTAAGTTAGGCAGGACTGCTTTACACCTGGCATGCTGCAGAGAGGCGGCGTTGGTCGGAAGATATCCGGCTTGTCAGTTCCCATCATCGCATTTGGCCGAGGTGTTGTTACGGGTTGGTGCTGATCCGAACGCACGTGATGAAGAAGGTAACACTCCACTGCATTTGGCCGCGATGGCACGACCATGCCCCACACGCCTACCTGCCATTTTGTTAGAACACGGCGCGCATTTGGATCTGGTGAACAATGCGGGCGAAACATTCGCGAGTCTGCTGGACATCGGACAACGCGTGCATGAGCTTGTCAATACGGCGAAACACACACGGCTGAGTTGTGCCGCCGCACGGGTGATCAAACAATTTAAGATTCCGTACAAAGGCGTCGTCACGCACGCACTTGAGACGTACATACAGAACCACTAATTAACTCTCCGGTTAACGAACGCAGCGAAAAAGTCATAGGCGCGTGTTTTATATAGAAGGGCGGCGAATGATAACGAAAATACTTCCACTCACATTATGACAACTATTATTATATAAATATATATTATATACTTATTACAACTCGTAACAGAATAACTGAATTATTAAAACACTGTCCATGTGCGATTCGATTCGTTGGTGATCGAATGCGGGAAAATGTGCAAGATGAAATCAAAAGTAATACCAATACACCTATACAGTTGATGACACGCAAAAAACAAACAGCTAGTAATATAATAATTGATACTGAGCAGTGCAAATTTACTACATAAAATTTTTTAAAGTCAAACAAATGGAAAACTACCAAGGCAATTTTGTAAACTTATAAATTGACATACCTAGCGAAATTTTAAGCAAACTATGTTAGCATAAGTCCTAAACTGAATGTGCAACATTAAGAAAAAAAAACAAGCGAAGCTTCTAGTTTATATTGAAACACTAACTAAACGTAACGAAATTAAACTTTAAACAAGTAATGTAACAATAATTAGGCAATTTTAGTAGCTAGTTGGGCGCATATTAGTAAAGCACACCAATGAAGATGACGAAAAAAAGACAAGATTCATGAATTGCGTTCTGATTTGTTTGTGGAATTTAACAAGAAATTTAAATCTCATCGAAAATTATTAGCCAATTAGTGAATTCTATTGATATGGATCTAAATATTTGATTAGCTAATTGAATATTTTTGCTATTTATTGAAATCATGCTCATCCAAAATGAGAAAACGCATCACTTTTGTGGATAATTATTAATTACTTACTGCGATTACGACTCAACTGATTAGGATCATGTGTTGAGTGATAGACAAGATTGATTATTGTACTGAGTACTGATATCTTCAAAGATTTATCTAGATAGTTTATTGGGTCTTAAATAATTTTGAATCGACTTGACTTTTGAAGTGTAATGAAGCGGTAAGAGTGCAAATTGATGCATTCTCAATAACGACTGATGTGAATATTATATTACTTATCACTCTCTCTCTCTCTCTCTATTATTAAACTCGTTCGACACAACTGAACAAAAATATTTTTCAACGGTAGTAGCGGTGCGGATGGAGACGACAAGGCGAGACAAAAACACAAAATGCTTGATAGAAGAAACTTGTGATTTACGTGTACGATAATGTAATTAAATAACAATGAAACACTGATAACATAAGATAAGTTAATTAAGATCATATAGATGACATAGGCATAGGTGGCGCACAAATTGGGAAATTTATCGAAACGAAAATTTAATTGTGTAGAGAAATGATTTAAGAGAAAATATTAGGCGAATTGAATGGCGTAGGCCGTAGAGGATATGTTTTTCTTGTTTACTTTGAACGTCATATACATAGTACATACCTATATCATGGATTAAAGCCGCTATAGACTACGATTTAAGTTATGCATACGTTACAGATTTGTGTGATTTATCATTATCATTACCGTCGTAACTGATTTGAGGAACTTTTGAGTTTGTTTCAAGAGTGCTACCGCTAGCGCAGATCGCCCTAGCTATATCTAAATATATCCTAAGTAATAATTAAATTTTCGAATAGGTTACATTCTACATGTAAGTAAGGCATTGTATATTTGAAAATATGAATTTTGTTATGTATTATATGAGAATATGAAAGAAGAATAAAGCGTATAAATTATTACCTTCTTGTTTTCTCCGGCGGGGTTACTTTAAATCTGCAAAACTTTGTTCTTTTCAACACCCAACGTAGACACTATATTTTTTGCCCATTTGGTGCATAAATAGTGTAAAAATAATTAGGAAATAATGAGTTACCTGTTAAAAACTGAAAGTTTAGGTGTTTTTAAGAAAAATTAATCAAATTTAGGGATTTTTGATATTATTTACTTGCAGCGCCCTCTATCGTGCGCTTGCTATTTGTTAAATTTAAAGTGAACACAACATTGTTAGTACGTTTAGAACATAAATAGTTTAAAAGAATAAAGATAATTATAAGTTTCAACATTAAGTCCAAACATTTTCCGTGTTTTAAAATAAATTAAACAAATCTAGGGACTTTTGATATTATCTGCTCGCAGCGCCCTCAATCGCGCGCTTGTCAATTGTCAAACTTACTCAGAGTTCGCCATTTTCGCGTTAACATTCTCCTAACCTCTGTGCATAGTTTGTGTTTGCTGGAGGACGCTCAACATTCCATCCAAACAAACGTGGTCATTGTGTAAGTCTCTGAATATTTCATCACTTTCTCGCCGGTGATATTATTATAGCATTGTTGGTCGCGTCCACCTACTTCTCGCAGCGGCCAGAACCTTTACGCTCTGCCTTACCAGTTTCTCACTGATTGTTTACGTGTTTCTGTCTTGGCTCTGTTGCAACAGCGTTCTTCTCGTTGGCGGTCGTTGATTCTGCGTCTTGGTTGTATCGTTAGCGATCGTCATGATGATGGACAAAGATGATCACGAAAGGGCGCGCGATCGCGACCGGGGCGGGCGGCGCGATCGTCCCACTCGCTTCTCCTCAAACGATCGCGACCGCAGCCCGGACCGCGGTAAGGATCGTGGCGGCATGAAGTCCTCCAACTGTCGCGTGTACGTCTCGAACATTCCGTATGAGTTCCGCTGGCAGGATCTGAAGGATCTCTTCCGGCAGCAGGTGGGCGAGGTGTCGTTCGTCGAACTGTTTGTCGACGAGAATGACAAGGCACGCGGTTGTGGCATCGTTGAATTCTCCGAGCCATCATCGGCGAAGAAGTGCCTGGAGGTGATGCATCGCTTTGACTTGAAAGGGCGCAAGATGGTCATCAAGGAGGACTTTGGCAACCAGCGCGACAAATACGGCAATCTCGTCGGCGGGGGCAAAGGTCGACGTGATCGTGACAACGATCGTGGGGATCGGGGTCGTGATGAACGCCGATACGAACAACATAACTCATCCGGGGGTGGAAGCGGTGGGCCTATCGTTGGTAACACCTACGGTCTCTCTCCCGCCTTCTTGGAGGACTTGAAAATTCAGACTCCCTTGAATACACGCATTTTTGTCGCTAATGTAAGTATTACTCCTTTGCGGGTGTAGTAATTTTTAAATCCGGTACGTTTTGGGGGCTCGCAATTCTCAATTGTTGATTTTCCCAAGCTCACATTGTAATCAGTAAATATCTTTCACTGTTCGGCTTGATGGTGTCGCTTTTCGTGTGTCGAATCTCCGCCATTTTGTCAATTGGGTGCGAATTCATTCAGTAAAATTCAAATTTCGTGCGAAATTATAATGGTATCTTCGTATGTGTTGGCCGGTCGGGGAATTCGAGTCGTTGAGTCCGTCATCGAAACGTATTTGCTGATTAAATATCACAATCTCTCGACGTTTGTGGTTTTGCGGTTCACGGGCACTCGACTGTTCTGATGGTGTGTGTTTCTCTTTTTGGGGTTGTCTCACTTCTAGCTGGAGTACAAGGTCGATAAGAAGAAACTGAAGGAAGTGTTCCGTATGGCCGGCAAGGTGATGTCGGTCGATATGCCACTGGCGAAGGACGGTACATCGCGCGGTTTCGCCGTCGTTGAATACGACCATCCGGTCGAGTCGGTGCAGGCGATATCGATGTTCAACGGGCAGCCATTGTACGACCGTCCGATGACGGTGCGCATGGATCGCGGTCCTGAGCGTGATAAACTACCCGAAGGCTTGAAGTCCATCGGTAACGGCTTGGGTTCGAACGGTGAGCCATTGCGAGATGTCGCTCGTAATCTGCCTTCACTGGTGAATCAGCCACCTGCGGTTGCAGCGAGCCTTAATAGTGGCGCTGGTATTTTAGGCGCTGTGCCTAATCTACAACTCGGCGCTGCCGCGAATGCCTTGGGCTCTTTGAGCAGCAGTGCGCTGAGTAGTTTGGGTACTACCCAGGCGGCTGTGTTGCAACAGGCCGCTAATCTTGGTTTGTCTAATAATCTACTCGCCAGTTCATTGGGCGGTGGTGATATAAGCCTAGGCGCTGCGAACCTCTTGCAGAATAATCCGTCTTTGGCGGCGTTGGCTGCCTCTAGCAATTCGATGAGCTCCGCGCATAACAACAATTTCAATCGGGGCGATAATAATCAGTCGAGCAGTGGTTTCATGTCGAACAACCAAGGTGGTAGTAACTATGGGGGCGGCGGTGGCAGCCAAGGGAATCAGTCGAGTATGGGCGGCGGGCAAAACATGGGGCGCAATAGTTACTCCACAGGGTATGAGTCGAGCAAACCCAGTGGCTACGGAGGTTTTGGGAATAACGGAAATGACAGAGATAGCCGCCCACAGCAGCAACAGCACAATTCCGGCGGCGGTAACATGTACAATTCGATGAACAACGGCGGCAGTCAAATGATGCGCGGTGGTGGTGGCGGAGTTAACATGATGGAGCGGAAAAAGTGTAAATTATTAATTTCAAACGTAAGTATTAATGAAACCATCAAATAAATATAATTTTACTGAATTTCAATTTATATTTCAGTTACCACCAACGGCGCAGTACAAATTAATCACAGAAAAATGCCAAGAATTCGGAGCTGTTGAAAACTTCGAAGAGCAAGGCATCGGTTCTTTGCTGGTTACATTCATGACAGAGTGGGACGCCGAACGGGCGATGAGTATCCTTTTATATAACCATCAAAACTTTATTTTACTCACACAGGATAAGAACTTCGCTATGTTTTCCTTAACGTTGTTTTTACAGAAAACATTGACAGGGCGCGAATCGATGGCCGCACAATTGACGCCCGAATTATCTAAGCACCGACCGTCCGGAGGGATCTCACCTATATTAGAATTCGTTGTTGGTCCTTCTTGTTATAGCGCGTGGTCTGTATTTGCTTCGTTCTTCACAGCGGCGATACTCTTGTTTATATTTTAATTTTATTTCGTGAACGCGACCGAACATTCTTTGATCAAAGTATTGTCTACTTTTGTTTATTTTGCCTACGAATTGCAAGATGGAATGACTGCCACACATCTGGGGAAGATGTGACTTGAGCATTATGTATAGGAACTGAAATTCGTGGGAAGATCATTTATGTCATAGTTTCGATAATCTACAAATTATTTTACTTAGCTCTTTATATTACTTGTAAGGACTCTACGTCGATTATTGGTTGTAAGAGAAATCTACGTTTGATTTGCGGTGGAATTTAGCGCGAGGGAATGTATTTTACTATTGAACATAACAAATTTGATGCGAATGGACAAGGATAATGAATTATTATTAAATAAACACTTCGTACAAAAGTTTAATAATTGGTGAGTTATTTTAATATTTATACTAGTACATGACTTTGACGTTGTGTAAAATCATTTTCTTCATTCATCACTCGATTTTATTCAGTTATTCTTAAACTTGAGTTGCGATATTTATTATTTGTGTAATAAATAATTTAAAGTGCACTTGGTTGAATACGACTTCGATACGAATCGATTCTTACCTTGTTTGTCAATCTTTAATAGAGATTGATGATAATGTTAAGTTACTCAGCATTGCGCCACAGTCTTGGACTTGTTTTGAATGGGCAAAAACAATTTGAACTCCGAAGGCAATTCGTCTTCTGAATACAGTCTGTCGGAAAAGTAAACGCGTCGAATCCGGCAGTTGGCATGCACTTGCACCCTCAGTGTCTCCACATAATTTGTACCATAAGCCCTACGTGTAAAATCGGCCACATTGAATTGAATCTGATTCCAGCCGTCGTCCAGACGCATCGGCATCGTGCAAATAAACGGTTTCACACGTGTTGTTGACTGATAATTACTGGCACGGAATCGCCTTCTTACATTTTTATCATCTAATATCTACCAAAATATATAAAAGTATAGATTTTTGGGTATTATAGTTTCAATTTTCACTTACTTGTACTTCAAAAGTAAAATACTTCTTTAGATTCTTGACAATCATCACCAAATAAGGTAGTTTTATACCAAGAGTTTTTCTTGGATCAGCTGGACAAGTGATATATGTAGTGCTGACATTGCAACCGATAACTTCCAACACAAGTGACTGAATGTCTTCGTCGGTGATGCGTTTGATATGACCGTTTTTCACCTTTTTGTCCCATATTTGCAATGGTTTGCTGCCGATGGAGTACAGGATAGACAAGAAGCCGCTTTGAAAAGTGTTCTTAAACATGTCCACCGCTGTCTTCAAGGCTCAGCGTATTGTGGGTTTATGTAGAGCGTAGAAGTTGACGACAATTTGGAACTTCATGCACGTAATTTAGATCATTTCCACTTCGAAATTGAGAATGTTTCGTATCAAATGAGTGATGAGGTTATGATATGCGGCAAATCAGCTTGTTTACCACGCTTGTACTACAACTTGTCACTTTGGACCAATAGGAAAAGAGAAAACATAGAACCAAACAAATTTGATTGGTCGATACTACCCACAGTTCGTATTAAAATATTTAGATGGCGCAGCGTTGTCGAAAATGAAGAATTTCGAGGAATAAATAAATGCCGCACAGCACATCCAAAATTGTTATTGTTATGCTTTATTTTTTACTAGTTTCTTTATCTCGAACACAATGTACTCAACAAAACAGACTACAGTAAACAAATCTTGCTCTACGCGCTCGCATCGACTAAGAAGTGTGTTCAATCGTGACAAATAAGCATATAAAAGAAATATCACACATTTAACAACAGTTCTACATTTGTTTTAATAATTTCGTACATCATTGAAGTGTTTCTGAGTAAGTACATCGTACACTAAACACCTACAAGTTTCTTCTTACATTTTACGTAGTTAATGCCTAAGAAACTAACTTAATTTAGTTGCGCTCGTGTGTTTTGTGTGTGTTTGTGTATTGTGTATGTTTATAATGCAATAATATCTTATGTTATTATGAAGTACATACAGCGATGAGCGATGATGTTGATGCGATGCACGCTCATGAAAAACATAGGTCGTAGAATATCGCTTGGTTTTCATTTCTATCATTACAAGTTTCATTACAACTTTGACGTGCGTGTTTTTACACGTTAATGTACATTAATCCATAATTGATATTTGTTTTATGTGGACAAGTTATACTGTGCGGGCTTATATATTTAACAGTGAACATTTTTATCTATATTTACGCTTCGAAACAAAAAGTAACCGAACCAAAAGAGGAATATTTTAGTATTAAGTAATAAGAATGAATTTTTACGTCTATTAGAAACATTTCTATCGTTCTTTGCTCGTAAATGGCTATATAAATATACGTAATACTTCACAATGAATAAATTCTATCATATTGCTAATACACGACTCTTCTATGAAAACATTTTCATCTATATGTACATCTACGTCCTAATCTATCACAAAACAACTGAAAATACATAAATTACACCTATTTTAAATCAATATCTTTTTGTAGATCACAAAAATCAAAAATTCTAACCTAAATACCTACTGTATAAATTATGCAACCATCAACACTGGTATCGAACGCCATCTGTTAATTTATTCAAGCAACTATAATGATAAAATCGATTTTTCATAAATAATGCAGAAAAAACACTCGACTGTGAATAAAATCATCAATCAACGATGTCTAATCGAAAAGGCAGTTCGTAAGTTGTCCATGTTATCGTATCATATGGTCTAGATTTTAATTAACTTAGTATTTCACCGAATATGTTTATATTATATCCATAAGTGTATTGATATGATATGATTGATATGTGTAATATAATTTTTTGTTCATTCATTAACTAGATTGACAGTTGTAGCGAATGCCGCTCGCTGGATTGCGTTTCGTGGCTTGTGTTTTTTTTTTCGTTTCATGTTTCGGTTACATAGTTACACATTATTACATGAAAACATTCTTACAGGTAATAATTCAAGTAAAAAATACATTTATAATATAAAACAAATATTTACGCATATTTTACACACTTTCCAAGCACATTAATAACAATAAATCTTCAATTTCTTAAATTCTTATACATTTAACAATGTATCAATAAAGTGATACCGATATGTGTTTGATATGTTTGTTGCTGGGCGTTGAGTTAAGTCTATTACTCTATTAGTATAGGTTCTAATCGTCTACAAATCAATTAAAATTCTCTCTACGAAAATTATAGTACTGCTGAAACAGTCACGTGACTGCAACTGCTCTAGTTCTGCACACAATTCATATTTTTATACATCTTATTGTTTATACAGCTATGATATACTGGTAATTTAAGTATCATATCATTTATCGTTAACTATGCATTGTTAACAATTCTTATCGTGATATTTTTTAAGTGATGCAAAGTATATTATTAAAACTAATCAACAAATTGATAAATTTACTATATTTTACTAAACTATTAAAAATATCAACAATAAACTAAAAAATCTCATAAATATATACTAATAAAATAAATTTGATAATATTTCTATTAATTTCTATTTAAAAAAACTATATAAATCGTGTATATATCAAGGATTTAAGTTTCAGCTTTATATTTCAGTCGTAGTTTACTATAGATATGCTTAAATGTTAGCATTTTCGTTAATTATGCATTAATATTCCGTTATAAACTACTTGTTTTTATTTGATAATGATATGTATCCGTTTCTTAGTTTTTTTCTTCACTTTTGAACATTTAAACGTTGATATGTCCTTATGATATGTTAATATATATCACTTACGTACTAATCAATCAATTAAATATAATATAATTTTAGTTTAGTGCTTAGATACTTACTAACTAGTGATATGTTTTTGATATGTTTGGTTTCTTCGTTGGAGTGACTAGAAACGACGCTCGAAATGCGAAAATATCTCGAATATAAATTATTTTCAGATAGTTAGATATAGATATAGTTATATACGCACTGTGAACAATACATTTTTAATATAGTAAATATAGAACAAATAACAGCTAAATTCGAATAATTTGAGCTACTTTTGTTCACAGTGGCGAAAAATATGTGTTTTTAGTTGATAAACTTTGAAGTTTCAACAAATATCAATTTTAATTTCTTGGTAATCACAAATTATCATCAGAAAGTTATATTTTACTGTGTATAATTTATGTATATGGCTTATTAAAGTACTGTTGGTTGCCTACAGTGACTACATAGATTATACACAGTGTATCAATAATAATATTAGATAAACTTTATAGTTTCAACAAATATAGCATAGCATCTTGGTATATTTCACCATTCTAAAATAGCTTTGCTCAATAAATATTTCTGTAAATAGTAAAAGCAGTGTAAATAATTTTTCATCTTTGTTTCTCAGTGTAAATAATTTACTGCGGTCGTGATAGTAGTTCTTTCATACCATTTAAACTCTCCTCCAGAGATTGCGCAAATCTTGAGCTACTTGTACTCTCTGAACTCCAGAAAGCCGACAGACAAAAAATGATATGACTACCTTTAGGGTTATAAGACGCGCCATAACCTTCCGGTTCAACTGGACCATAACCCATAAACGTATCATCAGATGTCGCCACTTGACTAGTACTCAACAGGAACTTGTTAGCAAGACGATAACTTTCATCCGTGAATATCTCCGGTAATGGATGACTTGCTGTTGGTGAGGTCTCCTTAGCAGCTTCACGTAACCCTAACAAGTGTATATCAATTCCTTGCCCGAGAATATTATCAATCATTTCCTTTGTTTGCTGCTTGACTGCTTCATTCCATAGATTCAGTTTGATTTCATCGCTTACCAGGTGAAAGGTGACTTTTTTCTCGTCTTCTTTGGGTAGGGCCATTGCTTGACACCAAGCTAAAGCTTCCGGACTAGCTGATCTGATACAATCAACCCTTCCATGTTTGAACCGGCGTGTTGATGCGCTCTCATAGGTAGCTGTCAGTTTTCCATAGAGTCGGTAGTATGCCAGTTGTAAGGCGAGTTGTATATAGACATCCGGACTTACCTTACAGGATTTAATAAAATCCTTACCATAACCTATAAAACGAAACACTTGATAATCGAGATCTTTGACGAGGTTATCCAAGAAATTAGCGGCTTCTTCAATTCTGCGGTGGTCGTCTGCTTCGAGGTTCCATTCTAGACGTTCAGGAGGTGGCAGATGTGAAGATGGCGCTGGTGGTTCATTAGTTTGACCTTCCTCAGCGTGTTTGTAGAGTTTTTCAACTAGTTGAATGACAGCAATACCTTCAGCTGATGAATGCTCATAGCAAAGTCCGCAGGCACCATCACCACTGATGACCAGTTGTATAGTTTTATCAAACCAACGATTTGAACTGTTATAACTTGACCCTCCACCATGAATCATCTGTAGAGCTAGGTTAGTCTCATCTCTACCTCCTGTATTGTGACCTTTTCCACCTTTCTGTAATCGACAGTTGAAAGAAGTCGGTAGTGGTTCATCCAAGCAGATAACCAATAAACTACGTGCGATTAGTTCAAGGTTATGTCTATTTCGGTCATCCCTGCATAGAGTCTCCCTTGCTTCAGCCCATTTATTACGTTGGATACCAGTAAGTAATCCCACCGGTGGCGGACTGGCTAGACAAGGTGCATCATCGAGAATATGCAACAACTGGGCACAGATTTCGTCTTCATTCAGACGACCCCGATCGGGGGCTTGTACTGGTACGCAGTAGAGTTGACTACGACAGGCTACAACCACGTGCTCAGTGGGTAACTCCCCACCTCCACTTTGAGAGGGTTGCGGAGCTACATGTTGACTATCGCGGTCTTTTCCTGGTAAACGACAGGAACCAAGTAGGCGGTAGTATTGGGCCATACAAAGTGGTTGACCTGGTTCCCTGGATGTTGCCCTTTCTATCGGTAATTCACGTCGGTCTAACATAGCCTTGTGTGTAACAGCCGCGTCGATCATCCGCGCAGTAAAACGCGCCACATCCAAAATGGTGGTAAACCGACGTGGCGGAAACACCATACCAGGATTGGAATTCACCGGTAGGGCAAGGTCGTTCTTGAGGTACATGTCATCCAGCCAGTAGTTCACAGCCTGGAAATTTTGTTGGATTTATGTGTAAATATCTGTTGTGTTACGAGTGCATTGCATTTGGTCGTGGTGCTTACGGTGCGGTGCGTCCATTGTGGATTAAATATTAATAATTAAATGTTAATAATTGTGCTGTGCTGAATAATTATTTAATTAATCACATTGTAAATTAGTTGGGTTAGAAAAGTGATTGTTGTGCTTGCGAATGGAAAGCAGGATAAATATGGTGCATTCATGCAGAAATCGCATTGTTTGGTCGGTCGGCCGATGGGTAGGCGTTGCGTTGCCGCGGAGAAAATGGAAACGCCACCGCCACCGCCGCCGCCGTCGCCGAAAATGGAAATGGAAACGAACGGGCGGGTACGCTGCGTCGTCGGCATCGGTTTTTCCTGATTGGGAGCGTCGGCACGCCCGCGACCCGCCGCCACTGCGTTTGTCTTCCCAGCGGGACTGCCGATATGGATTTTCCACCGAGCGGAAAATTTAATTTCCTCGCGCAACTTTCGCAAAACTCTCGTTACGTACGCGGAATTCATACCGTTCATTCAATTTAACTTTAATTTTATAGCAAACGTATAGAGTACCCTTCTAACTTTATTGTTTTTCGAGTTTTTTGTCGTTTTGTTGGTAGGTGGCGTTGTTTTATGCAAAGTATGCAACTTGTTATACATTTTTGTTGCGTTTTATTTATAACTAGTGTACAAACAGAGTGTATAAGAGTAAACATTGCCGAAGGGGTTGAAGTGTACACTTCTGGAACGGTGAATGCCGTTTCGGCAGGTTCTGTTTGCGCAAACAATCAAACGCAATCCAATTATAATTTTTAATCTCCCCACGGGGATTGGCAGCGCGGTGCTAAACTTTACGCACCCTCTTTCTTGGTGAATTTGCTTCTGTTGCATCAAAAACTCAAAAGAAAAATTAAATAGGAAATTTTACTTTTTCCTTTTTTATCATGAATGAAAAACTGAAGGTGAACGTGCCTCCAACGATCGAAACACTAACCAACACACACAAGCCTAGAATATATGCCGTAGGGTTACAAAAAAGGGGTCGTCAGTTGGGAATTCCCGTGAGGTTATCCATTTTTGCGTTTGCAACCTCTGCCTTCCCGGCAAGCGCCCCCGAGGGCGACGTTTGTTTAACAAATGCTCTATTTTTATTTTAGTATTTTTTCTCTCTCTACAAAAGTTTTAATAGAAGCATCAAAATAAAACGAAGAAATCAAGAATCAGATGAAACGTGCCCTAAATTTAAAAATATTTACGATATCAGCAGGGAAGTAAGAGGGAGACGGTTGTAAATCGAACGATCAAACAATTTTGTTAACGCCGTGCGCGAACCAGTCCTTAACAAGATCAGCGTTCCGATCGTCTGCCGGTGGCAGTGACTGTTGCCGTTCCCGCTGCTTCTGTCGTTTTGCGGGGGTGTGGGCATCGAAACGGATGGGGGCGCGAGACGCACACGGATTGCAATCAGTCGGTAACAGGGCGAATTGCTTTGCGTGCACATCCAACGTGACGCACATATCGTAATTATATACAATGTGTTCAAAGCGTTAAGCAAAAGTAATTTCCAAGTCTGAATCATTAATTATTTACATTTGCATGCATAAATGATATGCTCAAGCAAGTCGAAATATTTGATTGGCTGTTATAAGTTTAATGTTTACATTTATAGCAGTTGCTTTCCTTCATGAAATTGGATATAGAGTGGAGTGGAGGGGGTAAAAATTAGGTTTTTTGTGATTGCATGCATCTTACCCAGTTGTCGAGTTTCTCTTGACGAGCCAGCAGGTAGAGTTGCAGCCGACGACCCAGACCACCCTCGCCACCGAATCGCGCGACCATTGCCCGCACCCTCTGCTTACCGTCTTCATCTAGCAGGGGTTGTAAAGTTTTTTCGTATTTTTCGAGTGTTTGTTGTAAGTCCGGGACTGGTAGTTTTGGGAGTGAGACGGTCTGCAATAAAAAATTACATGTTTCAATAATTTTTTCATGTATTTTTGAGTTTTTTGAGAAAATTACGGTTTTTTAAGATTTTTCTGACACAAATTTCTTGTTTCTCTTTGATGGGTAATAAAATATCATGTGAATTTCGTGTAAATCACTAAATCATATTAAATATGTTTCGGTTGCGTACGGATTTGCTCACTTCAGGCGCGGCCGACGCGTGTTTGCAGCGAGTTGTATACAAAATGGATTAGATGCGCGTAGAGGGCGCGCGCCCCCGCGTCCGCGCCGCTTTGTTATCGCACGCTAAATGCGTTAAGCAAACTCGGACTAATTGGAGAGGTTTGCTCTTCTCGTCTCTTCTCCCATGCGCTCTTTATCATCACGCTACGAATACTCTTGTACCTCTACCCTCGACGCTTTCGGCTGTGTATTCCTATGCACGCATTCGCTTTGGTTTGGTTTGCAGTGCACTCGTGTAGACATTCATTGCTTTACTACGCGCCCCTTTAATATTCATCGCTATACCGTTTGGGGATCAGTTTAAACCTAACTAAACATTACCTTGACAAGACATTCTTATACATAGTTGAAAGTTTAGGTTAGAAATGAGGAAAATACTAAACATAGTGTATAATTTTAGTCATTTTAGTAAGGTGTGGTTTTCAGGGGAAATGAGATAATGGGTTGAGTAAAAGTTAACGACAAAGGAAAATATAACAAAGTTATTTAACTGGGGTGAAACTATTAAGGGATGTTAACTGGGCAAGCCTAAAGAAAATTTTGTTATCTATAGGCAACTAACTATACATACATTAAGCTGGAAGTTATGTGAGAAGTATTATTGGTTGCATATAATAAATGTAATAATGATTTTTGCATGTATTTATTTTTACACAACGAGAAATAAAAATATAATGGAGTGTACTCACGCGACAGAAGCTAAAAATAACTGAAACTCATTCAACTTTTTCGCAAATGAGACATTAACATTAATGTATGATATATAATGTGGACAAAAAGCAATGTTTTAAATATGTTTACACCAACACTAAAGTTCAAAAGCCAGGTCTTAATCAAATTTCAGCTTTTAACAATAACAAACCATAAAATCATAACATATTTTAGGGTGTTATGTTTTTCATGTAGGATGTGTTTGTTAATGGATGTGTTTGATGTTTGTTGCGATTTGTGATTTGAAATTTCACTTTGTACATTGCATTTCATAACTTCCCGTTGTATATTTTCTATTTATTTATGAATATTTGCAGCGGATGTTAATTTGAGTGTTTTCAAGCAGTCGTTTTCACTCCAGCTTCGAATTTAATTTCCATCCGTAATGGCCGACTTCAATTGAAGCGCATGGCAACGCAGCAAATCAAACGGAATTATGTATGTATTTATTTTACACGCTTACAAACATTAACGTCGTTACTGCCAAATCAGTACTCGAGCACGTTCCATGTTCAACAAAAACAAAATCAATTTCTTAAAGTTCTATATTGTTTAAATTGACGATATAACTTTAAAAGTTTTCATTTTAGAGGGTATAATATCATATTTTTAATGAATTGTTATGCTGAAGGTTCGAGTGCACCCTTTGACGTCGTCGTATGTCGCGTGCATCCACTTTTCCTTATCATTGTAAGTGTTCACGTGTTCACGTGAGCGTGTACACGCGTGCATATTATCATCAACTTTGGTTAAATATGTACGTACGTCAAAGTGTGTCTTGTGTCGTGCACTTTACTTGAAAGCTTGCAATATAATAATAATATCCTTTGCGATATTATTCTAAACTTGTTTATAATGATATTAAAAGTTGAGACATTAATGCAGAAATGAAATATACACAATGTATTTAAAGTTGCATATATTTAATGACTATAGGCAACCAACAATTAGTTTTAGTGTATACTTGGTTGCCTACTATAAATTTTCCTAATTGATATTTTCAATTTATGTCATGATAAATATAACTAAACGAATTTAAACTAAACGGCAGAAAAAGACTTGAAATCAACTAACGAGCAAAAATTCTGACGTTATCACAAAAATGTTAATGCGAGTTAGTAAGAATGAGTTATTCACACAAAAAACTCCATTCTTGATTTTTTTTTCTAAATTCAGGTGTGTTAGTAATGTCGTTAGCGTTCATACAAGACGTTCCATCATTATACTTCCTAGGTACTCCCCACGGACTAGGAAAATAGAAACGCATAGAAAGCAGTCGGTGGCGAGGCTTGCTTGGTCGATAATCCAAGTGGGCACGAAGTGTATCAAAGTGTGCATTAAGTGTTTGTATGCACGCGCGTAAAGAGGAAGCGACGTCAGCGCCACCAAGGAAAACTTTAAGCAGGAAACGAAGACGAACGCGAGGTGTGTACGTGAAAGCCACGGGGAAAGAAAACAACAGGCAAGACAAAGCAAGCGCGGTGGTGGTTTAGAATGAACACACACAGAGCACCGCACGACAGTTCTGAACATAAAAAAGTATAATAAAGCAAAGAGGGTCGAGCAGGGCGCAAGAAGCGAGCAGCGTGGGGTTGTTTTTGATTGGGGTCAGGTGGATGGGAAACTACCAACGAAGTTAATAAATATATCATCATATAGAAGTAGAGGTAGACCAGTGGGGTTTCTTACAATTTTTTTTGTTGTTTTGAAAATATGCATATTTATTACTTGTCAATGTTGGTTGCCTATAGTAAAATGAGTGATGACCGTAACTATTAACCTGAAAATTAAGTGAATATCTAAAGAATTTGCATGAATTTCCAATAATTTTAAAGATTAAAGGGTTGTAGTCAAAAATACTTAAAGGGAGGCTTTTCTATCAATTTTGCTTGTTTTTGTTCAACAAATCGTAAGTAAAACCAACTTTTTCAATGTTTTTGTTCATTAAAGTATAGTATAAAAGTCTTTTTAAAGTCTTTTTCTCTTTTATCACTTCTATTACTCATAATTCCGTGTAAAACTAATTAATTTAATTATTTCAGACCAAAATACAGAATTGATTGGCAAATTACACATATCAAACAAGCTCAACTCGTTAGTCAATTTGAAATTATTCACATAAATATATATCCAGATGGAATTTTTCGAAATGTACTCGGGCGTGTTTTAACTACGTTTCGTTGGGCAATCATCGAACGGGTGGTTGCGCTACGGTAACAAGGACACGTGGCGTTTTTCCCGGCGCCACGCACTGCAGTGCGTGCCAGCAAGGGTGCAGGGCGTGCAGCCGAGGAGAAATTATCGAGGACCCTCGACACCGTCGAACGCTCGCTGCCCTTTGCTTTGTCATGCACGAAGGTATAACGAACTTCGAACTCACATGCAAATTCCACGATGGATTTATATTCGCTTTAATTGCAGCGTGCGGCAAGGTTAATCGAATTTTAAAGAAAAACGCAACTTCTAACTTCCCAGAAAGGAAATTACACACACTTTAGTGAAGATTACAATCATCCAATTAAGTTAAATACCTAAATTTAGTAAAATTCTAGGTAAAAACTAAAAATTACAAGTTAGGTTATAATTTTATGTTTGCCGAGCGCCCTCTGTTAGTGAATCTTATAAGTTTAGCCATTTACCTATTACTTTTGCATACAAAAGTAGTCCTTTTAGAGATTACATCTGAATGAAATGCATTTGATCGGTTTCCTATTTAGATCTCGTCACTGAGTGACTTTTAGACTTGCAGCTTATAAATTGATCCCTATCCCGGCTTCGCGTTGAGCTTTATGCGTCGTGTGCACGCCAGACGTTCAGCCATAATATCTTATTGGATATTATCGGATACGTGTGTGTCATTTCATAGAAAGAGATGAAAGTACCCTCTGTTGCGGTGTGCTGCAGAGAATTGCAAGTTTTATTACTCCCCAGAAGGCAATCATTCACGGTTATACTTCTACTTATCCAAACCTATCAAAACTATCTTTATATTATACAAATAATATTTTTACTTACTTTCTAGAACAACCTACAATATCAGCAGGCGAATATTTATTTTAAAATCGAGATTTTTGCTTTGTCTTAAAATAACCTGAAGGTTACTGGATGGATAATGCTGGAATAAGTTATAAGGTATGCGACGGGAGGAAAATGTCACTTCACGGTCGACGTCGACGTCGCCGGGGCGACAGGAAGAAGGGCGAGAGGGAAAAACCCCATGGGACATCAAATATGCAGATGGCATTTCTGTGTTTGCTATATCTATATCACTGTGCGCATTTATTCATCTACACTCTACACCATTACGTTTCAAGGTGCAGGACGACAGTATCGGTATTGTGGCTGCAAAATACAATATGGCAACGTCGCAAAAATGTCAGAAATAATCTACATTAGTAGGTAAATATAGAATTCAGCTAATTGTGTGCTAAAAATATTTTAGTATCAAATGTAAAACGTCTAATTTTATTCTAAACTAGCTTTGGCCCGCGATTTTGTCCCGGTAGTGTTTAATTGAAATGTAACTCGTTTTTACTCTCTGGTTCCAAACATAGGACTCGTATGAGACAATTCCATCAATAAGAATCGCAAATTTATTTTTAAGAAATTAATTATATAAAGAATTGCTAATAATGCACTTCAGCGCGCCATCTCGGATTCAACTATTTAACTATAACTATGATTGAATCTCTTGTATCTTATAGAAAAGGGCTGTTCTTAGGGTTTTCCCGGCAACTATCCGAATTTTTCTCGACGTAAAAACCATCCTTGGACTTTAACAAATATTTTAAATGAAGAATTGGCCACATTGGTGTAAGCGTTGTTGAGTTATGCGCTTTTCAACAGATTTTCCGATTTATTATTATGTTGTACATAGATTCTGAAAATTTTGGAAAACCATGTCTATACATGTCTGTAAACATCCCAAGTTAGCCAATACCCGCACCATGTTATGATAGTATTTACCACTGTACATCTAGAGTTGGTAAACACCCCCGTGTGCCCAGTGCTCGTGCACGAGTTACCCAAGTAACCCAAGCGAGGAATATGTGAGAACGAAGCGGTCGTAGAGCAGGTGTTACATTATCCTGGCGCCTTTACTACCATCTCCGTCATTCTATATCACTATCCTTATTCAACTTTTATATTTACACGGTGGTTCCACCAAAGATCTTGTGCTTGGGAGGGAATAATGCTTAGCTGGCGTTGTATTTTCATGTTTGCCGACGTCGACTTTCCCTCCGCAAAGTTTATTTGGGCATCTTTCAGGAGGTGTGAGTGTAAGTGTACATTAAAGTTGAATATAAGGTGTTAGGTATATGATTCATGCTTTAAAGGAAGTCCCTACCCTGAAAACTTTTAAAACTTTATGGTGTAAAGTTAAATTTATAGTTTTAATAATGATAAATTAAGAAAAATGTTTTTTTTTTGTTTTTTAGCAACACTCTGTATTTAATAATGATGTGATAAAAATGGTAATGCATACTTTTGCACGCACTGACGCATTATTCTATTACGGTGGGAAACGCATCGAGGACGTCATGTGACGCTAACATCGTTAGAATATCATCAGATGATCCTCGCAACTTTGCATCCAGAAATTCATATATATTTTGAGACTTGCTATTCCCCTAGGCATATGAAAGTTGGATTTCGAAATTTTTTAAACGCGGTGAATTGAATTTCAAAAGTGTGTGCGAATGTTGAGGATGAGGAGATTCTGAGGAGCTTTGAAGGATGCACTTGACTTTGAGAAGTGCAAACCGTGCAAACTTTTCTACTTCTTTTCATGCACATTGAAAAAATGTCAAAAGATTACTCGGAAAGTGAAAAAATTATTTTTGTGCACAGAACTAGAATAAGTAGTTTACAAGGTTATGTGCGTTATGTGCTTCAATTCAAAATGACATTTTGGATCATATACATCACATTGATTGTATTAATTTATTTTGCTTTGTATTTCATTCACAAGATTAATTCTATTAATGATAATTGTTTACATGGTGCTTTCGACAAATGCTTTGAATGTTTGTATGTTTATTAAAGGCTTTATCTAAGTTTGCGGTGAGCTTTGTTGTGAATTCTCGCATTCAACATTCGCAAGACGCCGGAGCTCGGATCAAAAGCCGCAGAACAACAAATCGATACGAGTAAATTCACATAAATAAATAATAGCAATTAGTCGGAGTGCTTTCGTGCAAACACTCACAAAAATCATGCATAAAAAATCAAATATTTGCTTGTGTTTTTTTTGACGAAACATTTTTGTTGACCAGTCAAGGCAGTGAAGATATAAAATGTGAAAGGTGACATTCAACTGAAAGAAAAACCAGCATGTGAAAGAGGGGACAGAAAAATCAATTTGATAATTAAAAATGAATGAAGCAAACGCACCACCCAACACGCACGAGGAAGTAAATTTCATTCAAACAAACAACATGTTTTCATTCATCATTCAAAAATAGAAATGAATTTATTATGACTATTTTTATGTCTCATTCGGAAAGAACTAGTAAATTATTAAGTATATTTAAAAAGTATAGTTTTTGTTTCACTCGGTTTGCAAAGTAAACAACGGTGCTATCGAGGGTTGCATCCGAACAAGCACTGAAAGGGAGCAGCGAGTGAAAAGCCCGCGGCTTAGCTCTCTCCCGAACTAATACAAATAAACTGGGAACGCACTTAAATAAACAATGCGCTCATTACTAATTAAAACACCTTTTCCGCCTTTTCAGACGACTACTGAATAATACAGAAGGCGTTGGTTGCCATAACGCTTCATATTATAACCTCAAAATGTTATTTTTTATTTTACTTAAGTCTTTATAAACTGAACTTGAATAAAACAAACGATTATATAAATACAACTGTCTAAAACACAAGAAAACATAAATAAACCTACGAATATAATAAAATAATAATACAAAAACAATTTTTTTTATAACCTGCGGCGCCATCTATACAAAAACACAACAAAAACGTAACACGATGATGATGAAAACCAAGAAACAATACTTGCATTCACATCAAACGCAGGCATCGCCCCTGCGACAGCGTTTGCTGTGAAAAGAAACGAAAGAGAATTGCAAATTGCATAAACAAGCGTCAAATTGGAAACGCAGCGTTGCGCTGGCAGTGCTGGCAAAGTTTTGCTTTGTGCACACCACGCCATCGGCCATGGGGGCAGAACGGAAAATATCCCGCGGCGCAGGTATAATCGACCGGGATAATCGAATCCTGTCGCTGCAAGTCGTGGCCCCCAGGACCTGACGCCAAACCGAAACCCGGCTGGCTGGTTTCGAATTTCGTGTTTCGTATTTCTGCGTAGCTGCACGCGTGTAATTATCGTTCGTAATTTAAGTTTGGTGCAGCATGAGAAATTCATCGAATGCTGGAAATCGGAGCCTAACTTTATGCAAGCGTGAGTTTAATATTCAGACGCGGGAAAAATAAGTTTTAATGACGTTTTAATTGCGCAAAGAAAAGAAACGTTGGTTATGCGTTCAGGGAGAGCTGGGGTTCAAGTGGAAAATTGCTTAATTGCGTTGCTAATTGGTTACTTCCTGCAGGGTGAAAGTCTCTTGTAACTTTAGGGGTCATTTCACTTTTTATAATCAATATTTTATGTTATTTAGTTTAAAATAGAAGATTTTTAACTGTAGACAACTATTTATACATGTAATTTTGTTTGTGCGTGGGTATGTTTTTGATGTATTGTTGATTGCGGACATTTTCACACAGACCGGTTGTAAGATAACGTCCAATGTTTAACACTCAACGTTCAGCGTTCAGTTCAGTTGAAAGTTGTTGACGCGTGAGTGCAGTGATACGTGCACAAACTAGAAATTGTGATGTTATGGCACCAGCTCGTTGCAGTTTGCAGTGTCAACTATAAAATCCCATTATCCCGGTGAGTAATCTTACAAGATCTACTTTTTTAATAAAAAATTGAAATACGTGAAGAATTAACGTGTGACAGTTTGAAAATTGACGAAATCGCTGTATTTACGAATGATTTATTGTCGCGAACGACGATATGTTGATAAGTTGATAAAGATAAATGATGCCAGCGCGGATTTAACACAAATTTTCGTTAACAATAATTCCTCATAAAACATGTCCTGGTTTTGATGTTTTACATCGCTCCACGTATACCTATAACATTTTACGCCCTAGGTTTAGGTGTATCCATTGTCGTAACTTTGTTTTATGTCTTTTTGCATTTCACACATTTCTGTACATATTTCTTTCGTTTTACATCGGATGGAAATACGAATGCGATTTTGTATTGCAAGCGGAATCTTGATACAGTAAAACACGTGTTCGGAGTGCACGCAGTCGACGCGAATATCATTTATCTTTCATCGCCCTCGTGCGTTTCACGCGTTGCAAAGCATTGTGATGCGGGAGTAGCAGTACTCGTAGTATGTGCAGGGTTGTGGTGTGATGTGTTATAACCGGGGCCACCGGGACGTAATGATATTGCTGGAGGCGATGCGAGAGATATGCGAACCGCCATCGGCAAGCGATTACTCGCTTCGATGCGTCATTTTATCTTTTTGCGTTGCGCGTGGCGATAATCATCTTGTGTTGAGGTGCGCATGTTGATGTTTATGTTGACATTTTACTAATGCACAATGGGAATATTATTTATTCATGTTTAGTTAATAGGTACTATTAAAAATTGATATTTAGACTGGCAAATTAAACAATTTTTTTTATTTTTAAATTAAAATTTCCTGTTTTTTGAGTGATTTTTTATAGTATTTATTGTTTGTAATAAGCTGTATGAAAGGTAAAATTATAATTAATTTATTTTTTGCTTCTTTATTTAAATTGGAGCTTTTTTTCATGGTTTTGATACACAAGAAGTGGTATTTTAAATCCGGATGGCTAAAACCGTGACTAAAGTACTTTAGTCACGTGCTATAGTCACAGGCTGGAGCTTGCGCCGGCGCATTTGCCTACGGTGCAAATTTTACTTAAGTTTTATTTAAAATTTTACTATTCTACAACAATTTACCGAATTTTTTATACCAAGAGGATTTGATCCAAAAATATCTCTTTCATCTATTTTTATTTGTTACAAATTTACTTCCTACAATATGAGTACAAGCTATTCACATTTGCATCGCAGAATATTGCACAAACGCTATATTCGCCAAAGGACATAAATATAACAACCGTCCAACCTACGTTTTATGCGTCCTAGTTGCTAGATATATCCTTGCATCGTTCGTTTCATAGAATTTGCGTACCTATTGCGGCTCGCTAACGTAATCAACCCTCCCCGCTATTGTAAAGCGAATTGTTAAGCTACATAAGCCTTCCCTTCAATACCCTCCACGCTCACATCACACAATTCATATCTGCGCCCACACAGTGGTCACATTCATCGGAAACGCCGAGTGACATTAACGTCACGTTCGAAATTTGCATATTTACCGGTGGAATATTTCATAGACTATGGTAATTACACTTGCACAAAGATAACCAATAATCCAATTGTTTGAATTATAAAAATTTTAATTATTGCATAATAAGAATAGGATTTCATGCATATTTATTGCAACTTCACGCAAGAAAATTTTTCCGGTGCATTCTGCATCTAATAATACCCAGGAAGATACTAAAGCATAAATGCACAATGCACAATGCGCGGTGTAAAGTTCCCCGTAGTGGAAGGGAATATTAAAGCGGAATATACGTTGAAAATTGCAAAATAATAAAGCGCCGGAAGAGATAACAGCCGCGGATGGAGGGTGAAGAATGGCGGCTCCCCCGATTGCCCCTTTCGGCGTGCCAAAAGCTTTCCGTTTGTACGTTTGGTCGGCGGTGCCCTGCGGCGCACCGAGCGCGTGCATAATCATCTATATTAATTAATATACAATGCAAATTCACCCTTCGGAAAACTTCATCGGGGGAAGACTTCATATTTGCTAACTAAAGATTGGTAAAAATTAAATAAAATATTAAAACTTAAAAAAGTGAGTGAAAATAAAGAAATTGGACTGGAGATAAAATTAGCGTCATTTTAAGAGCTACGATTAGTTAATACTGGGTGTTACAATAAAATATTTAAATTAGAATCGAGTTTAACACGAAAATTTTATTCCTGTATCTTGAAATCGTGAATCTTGGTCACGAACACGAGAAACAAAAAATTAAAAGAAGAGCAGAATGAATGAATGGCGCAATATGCGGGCGTAATACTTTTTGTAACCTTTAACCTGCTTTTTCTCTTAGTATTTTATGAGTTTAATTTCTTTTTTCTTTTTCTCTTTTTATTCATTCTGGCAGTTATTGCGGGTATATTTAAACGTTATCTTATCATATTTATTTTGTTTTTTTCGAAACCATCTAGAAATAATGTTCTTTTAATTTTAAACTTCTACAATAATAACTGACAGTATTATCCGTTAAAATTTGATCATACAGTATAAAACAAATAGTAGTTCCTTTTAAGTCACGTAATACGTAACGAAATTGTAAGTTCTGCAAGTTGCAACTTGGCAACACTTGAATATAACTGGTACAAGTTTCCGTCGGTTAAACATGTTCGCACGTTCCTGCTTACATCCCGCGCATTTTATATATTTAAGAACATTTCATGTTTTGATCTGAAATTCGCAAATCTATAGATTGCGTGTTTGCTTCGTTTCCTTCCTGCGGGGGCAATTGGCACACTATGTCGTAATATTTGCGGTGCGCTACACGAAGCACCTTCGTGTAGCAGAATCTATATATATTATATGTACGTGCGCTCTCGTGTTCAGCTTCCAGTGGAAAGTGGAAAAGGGCGCGACGAGACGAGACGGCGTGTAGGTGTGACGGCTGTGCGGAGCGCAAAATTTCAGCCATTTCAGGTTACGACCTTTATTGATCCTGCCGTGTCGCTCGCGCAGCGCTCGACTACGTGCACACAGCGTAAGCACCTGGTTGAAAATATTTTTATTTTCGCAAAATATAAAAGTATAGCTAATAAAATAGGTTATGTAACAGTCGTACAGTGACCTGAAGAAGATATTGATTATAACCTCATAAAATATTCAAATCGGTTTAAAAAATTCAATTATCTTTGATAGATTACCGTTGAATTAATCGTATAATCGAATTATCGCCCGCGCTGTCAATTTTAAACGTTAAATTATCAATTTTTACTCACCTCGGCATTGTCAGCCGACGTCGAATTGGCGCCCGATATTGTAGACCCCAGCCATTTTTTCGGCAGCGAAAGAATCGAGTCGCGCCATCCTGAAAATTTCAAAAAATCAATAAATCATGGTTTTGATGAGAATTAAAAGTTTTATCACTATGTCTATGTGATGATGGCGCGCAGTGGTTGGTGTGTTGGATTAGGACAAAACGCAAACTTTATTAAATCATCGCCTCATCTGCTGCGCACTCCCTTTCTGGCCGGTTTTGATGGTGGTGGTGCATTGTTAACGCGCGGGGACTTTATTAATGTCTTTATATTAACACCGTGGCCGCGCGCCCGCAATGAGGGTAACTTTATATCATCCGAACTTTGCTGCTGCACTAACCACTAGGGGTATTAGACTTCAGGAAGACAAGCGACAAGACAGGAACTGACACAAACGTGCTTTAATTGCTATAAATAGAAAATGACAATGGTGGTGACATAGAGGATAACGACTTAATAGAAATACGTAGACGCAAAGTTTGGTTATGTTTTCTTTTCTTTTGAATTAATTATTTTTGTCTATTTGTATGTTGGGTTGCCGGAATACAAGTCGTAGTTGATTAGATTTTTTGCCCACGTCCATTCATCTCGGGGAGGGTGCGAAATAAAGCATTTTGAACGTGCGCACGGCAAGCGTAAAAGAAGTAGGAAAAGGCAACAAAAAATAGAATGCCAGAATGGTTGGAAGGTGGCAAGATTGAGAGATAGCGACATACAAGGCTCACCCTCCTGTGTGGGTGTCGTGATGAATCTTGCACGACCGGATGAGAAACGATAAAACAACCTGACGAAGCAATCAACCACGCTTACACTTTTGTTTTCATTTTCATTTGTTACTTCATTCGATATTCTTCTAAGATTAGCTAGATATGTCACGATTTTGCATTGCAGGATAAAACTGGTCTTTGCACTTTTTTCTAAATGGTGCGAAGAGACATTAGGGCTTTGGTAATGGTAATGGCCATTCCCGTTTTCCCATAATTCCTACTCACATAGGGTAGTAGTTGGGTAGTAGTATTACTGTGATAGCTTTATCGGCAGTTTCCTGTGTGCATCACACATGCACATTCAAAGCATAGAAAGGGAGGAAACAGGAAGCGGTAAACTGAACCTGGACATGAGATGCAGGATGGCGGAAGGTAATGCAAAAAGGCAATTGATGCCAAATTGACCGTGCGTCATTAGCTCCTCTCGAACTACTACTTTTATGGACCAAACATAAATTTAAATCCTGTAAAAATCTATAATATAAAAATGAATTGCAAAATATGTTGGTAAGCGCATAACACAACAATACCTAGTCCAATTTGGCCAATTCCTTTTTTAAAATGTTCGTTAAAGTCCAAGGACGGTTTTTATGGCGAGAAAAATTGGAATAATTGCCGGAAAAACCTTAAAGACAGCTTTTTTCTATAAGATAAAAGTTGTCATTGAGATTCAATCATAGTTATAGTTAAATAGTTGAATCCGAGATGGCGCACTAAAGTGCATTATTAGCAATTCTTTATATAATTAATTTCTTTAAAATAAAATTACGAATATTATTGATAGAATTGACACATACGAGTACTAGAACACGTGAGTAAAACGAATTACATTTTTATTAAACACTACCGGGACAAAGTCGCGGGCAAAAGATAGTTAAAAATGTTTTTCACTTGTTTGGAGAAACGTGTCTGAGATCTAATTCAATGTCAAAGTTTGATGAAAAATAAACGAAAACGTCGCCTTAATGTATGAAAACAGCGACGTAAAACGCAATTCGAAAAGAAAACTTGCGTTTTCTTCGTGTACTTTTTCTTTCAAGGGAAAATTCTTTCCCCTCGCTTTTGTGGCAAGGTAAGCGGAAACGTCAGCCACGTTTCCAAAGACCGCAGAACGCAATGAGGAACTTTTGATAATTCCTAATGGAAATTGCCGGCGAGTTGAAATTCGAAACTTTCACAAAACACGAAACACGAATTCAAATTAAGGTAAAGTGAAAATTTCAACAAGAAAACATTCAATAAACATTTTACCCTTAACAACATTTTATTTATGTAACATTAAACCGTTAAATATCAAGAAATTGAAAGGATCTTGTATTAAATTGATATTAATGCACGGCATGTTTGTGTTTAATTAGTTTTTTAATATTTAATGGCTTCCGATACGCGCAGCGCGGGTATAAAAGACAGAATTAATTGAATCCTTAATTTATCCCCTTACACTTTTCGCATATAAATTAATGAGTGAGCAAGCTGCGGGATCAGTTCACAAAGTTGTATAAAAATGTTTTAGAACCGCTATCTACTCAGGTGTGTCTTTATTTTAAGTTTGCTTGTTTGCGCTGTCTTTGTTTTTGACTGCTCCCTTGGCAAAGTGCAGATCGTGTCGTTGGGGGGCGGTTGTTTGCTACGGTCGCGTCGGCTTATCGTGCGGCTTTGTCTGATCTTGCAATCGAGCAGCGTCGGCTTGTAAAATCCTTGTTAAGCTTCGAACGAACCGTGCGGAAAAGCGTGCGTAAATCGAAAATCCCCAAATAAAAATTACCTTTTTTAAAACCCGATAAAAATATACCTTTGGCACGTAAAACTTGTTTAAAATTTATTTTATTGTTAAAGTATGCAACCAAACATACAAAACACTTTTATTTTCAATATCTCATGTTTTCCTGTGCAATTTCCATGGAAATTAATTAAATTTAACAGGTTTTGAATTATATCACCTGTTTAGATGGTTATTTGTCAATTTGATACACCTTCTCAGCAGTTAAAAGCTATCATGTTCTCAACGTGTTGCATGCTTTGGCTTAGATTCACAAGTGTGAAGTGTGTTGCATCGCTTCGAAGTGACGCCTTGTAAGTGTACGAATTACACGTTTTCACCCTTAAAATCTGACACCTCCCTCACACGTCTGATCAACCCCGACAAGACGATTACAAGCGGTAAAATTTAACACGTAGTTTAACGTTAATCTAGAACGCTAGAAGTTAATTACAACCACGCGTCATACGCTTATCCTTCGATCTTGTTTTAACTTGGTGGCATGGAGATTCATCGCGAGGAATTTTAACGAGGGCGAGAAAGTGCCATTAAATTAAGTAATTACACATTTTTCTTTCGTTTAATTAATTTGACGCGTAATTGTGTTAGGTGTGAGACAAGTTAAATTTTATGCGAAACGCGTGTTAATTCGATTTTATATTCGCGACAGTAAAAGTGAGTTTTGTGCAGTTTATAACTCGTTTATGTCATAGTTTGAAGTTAAAAATAGCTCCAGACATGTTTTAGTCTATATGCAACTTTGTATACTCAGAGTTGTATTGTAATGTTATTTTGGTTGCATAATAATTTGAAAATATTGATTTTAATGATGTTTTATTTTAAAAAAATGAGTTGGATGGCTAATGTAGTATCCTAGTATGTTTCGGCTTCATTCCAAGCATCTAAGATTACAAAGAAGCCAAGGAAACAAGAAAACACCGAGGATTCCCTTCCTCAAAGCCGAGATCAGTGAAAGCAAAAACGCCTTAAGGGTGGGTAGCCGCTGCACGCTGCATTCGCCTTTTTCGGGTCGATGTACCTCGTTTGTTCCGCCAATTTCGTCCTTCCTTTCACAAAAAACACTACAAAAAGGACCTCGTCACAAATGCGCACGGAACACGAAAGGGGGAAATCCAAAGTACTCACAAAAAAGGACAAAATGCAATTCATCACTATTATAGGATTTGCAGAAACTAAATTTCATTTAAGCAGCGACATCTAGCTTGGTTTATATAAATTATACATAACCACACTTTTGACCTAGTTTCACCTCGTATTTGCTTAGTAGGATTATAAATGACGGTCATTTTTTTCTTCATTATAGTGTGCAATAAAATGATAGTGTTATCGATAAATCATGCCTGTCACAGAACTCCCACAGCACGAAAAAAGTTTCTCGTAGAGAAAGTTGCGGAGTGTTGAAAATAATGAGAACAATGACGAACGCATTTGTTTGCAGCTTGAGGCTGGGAGAAGCATCTAGGGATGCTTGTAGGACAAGGCACACATTTGCCAACTGTCAACCAGCAGATGAGCCAATGTGTGTCATTCAGAGGGTGCATAATCGATCAGGGAAATGAGAAAAGAAAGAAAACTGCATTTTAACTAAAATGTAAATATACTAAATGCAAAATAGCGAATGTAGGTAATTACTCGTCTGTGGAGAGGTTGAAAGAAAAGCCGGAAACATGTTTCACAGCGAAACGACGCCATGGAAAATTCACAATGAAATTCAAAATTGCGCACGGAGAAAATATGCTTTGCATTTTAATATCCGTGGTTGTAGCGGGCGCAAAGCAAATGCAAATTAAAACCTTGTTGCAACAACAGCAACAACACGGTTAATTACAACAATATAAGTAGCTTAAATTGGAGTTTTCTTTGAAATTCAACATTACGTATTCTTTAAGAGTATTTAATTTAAAAAACTACAAAGCAGGTTAAAATTTTTTTTTTTTGTTTTTACTTAAATTTTAAGACATTCTAAATAATTTTTCCTAAACCTTAAATTCTGTTTTTGGATTCTAATTGAAAATTTAGTTCTTCATCGATTATTTTAGTAACTTTTTTTACGAACATTAACGGTTTAGGCCCTATTGGAAATTTAATGGAGAAAAAATTTAATTTGCACCTAAAAAGTTAAATTTTATTGTTTTGCAACAAGAAAATTTCTATTTTTATTTCTGCACTGTACACTTTTGATTCTTTTTTTTGCATTTTCTCGTGTGTTGTGTTGATTCTGTATTTTGTACCTTTGGGAATACGTGGTTCAAAGACAGCGTGCGTCACGGGACGCAAAGTCGAAGGCGATTGCAAGAAGGGCGCAAAGACGAGGCAATCGAAGCGTAGCGAAACGCATCGAAACGCGTCGACACGCAGCACGCATGCGGCATGCATTCGAACATTTCCTTCATTCGAAGATTGAAGGACGAAGGAAGAAAACGAATCGGCGTCGAAATCGCTCGGAATCGACGTGTAACTTTTTTATCCCGTTTTATCGGCCTTATCTCTTTACATCTTTATATCTTTCGAGGATTCGTACGCGTCCCGCATCCATCAATCTATTATTCTATTATTTATTTCCACTCTTTGGCGTTTTTGGGTTTCTGACTTATTTCACATAAAAAAAATTTAACATTTTCTGACGCATTTCAAGGTTTTCATTATTAAAATTTAAAAATCTATTTTCGAGTTGATTGGCGCACAAAAAGCTCTAATTTTGATGCATGATGGATTTTTACAAGGGACTCTTCCGGTTTCCATAGTAATATCCTCCTTCTACACCTGCTTAGTCAGTTATTAACGAGGTGCATTCATCAAAACTGTCAATTTACGCTTTTCATTCAAATTGAGTATGATTAATTGTAATTTTCACGCATTTTTCTCTTTATAATCAAAAATCCATTCATAAATTCCAACAAATAATTCTTATCTCGTCATTTTATATAACTTTATGCTGAAGAACAGTCTTATAGCAAAACTTGTCTTGTCGTCTCGTGGGATTTACCAGTTTCTGTCCCCCAAAGCAAATTTCCACTGCGTGTTACAGCATTGCTGTCCGTTACAACCCTGACGGTCTTATATCATTAGTTATAACGTCGATAACAATCTAACCTTGCATTCGGATGAATTTACACGCGTTCAACTAGGGGTAGAAGCGTCGCATCCGTCAAAAGATTAGGTATTATCATCAACAAGAATGAATTACTAGCGTGTATTTGAGGTTATAAATTCTAACCTTAATTTACAGCTCTCGGGCGAGTGAATATAAAATATTCTATTCAGTTGGTTCAGTTAAATTAATTAATTAATTTTAACTTTGTGCAAAGCTTGATTATGAGTCCTTGATTTCCTTTCTGTTTTCCCTGCAAAAGTGTAGCGCACGTGCATTGCGCAACTGCGCAACTTATCTAATTACATTAATGGATTGATGGCGGTTTGTTAGTTTTGCTCCAACTCGAAGCACCAACTCCAACTCCAGCATCACCTACATTTATTGATCCTGCTGGCGTACCTTTTAATTAGCGCGGTCACTAGTGCATACAACATGCGCTCACCCTCACCCAGTGGTCGTGGTGGTGGTGGATTTTCGACAAGTTAGAAACGTCTAACTAGAAAAAGGGGAAAGTTTGTCAATAGAGGGTGAATGCATGCAAAAGGAAGCATTCTGTACTTTTTTTTCTTCACCGGATATTCGAATTGAATAGTATAAAGGACTAAGAGTGAAAAGAAGGACAAGTGGAAGTCAAACTTGTAGAAAATTGTGTATTAAGTATCAAGTCACTAAAAAGGAGTAAAAGTTTTTGTAACAACATTTTTTTCTATTTCTACGTTAAGTTTGTGATCCAATCTGTGACTAAAGCACGTGTTTAAAGTACTTTAGTCACAACTTTGAGCGTCCGTGGTTAAAATATCACTTTTATTGTCTCATAGCCGTGGAAAAATTAGCGTTTTAAATTCAATTCAATGTTTCAATGCTTAAACATGTTAAACATGTCAAACTGTCAATATATTCCTATTAAATACGTATAATAGATTTCAAGCTCTTTGTTCTTTGTTTGATGCTTGACTCGATTGAATTGGAAGTGGACAGCACTTGAACCATTCTCTTCTCGTCATTATTTAACCTAACCCTTGGCGGATGCGCGCTTTGTGTCCGTCGCTTTCATTAAAACACCGAAAGTATCGAATTTCAGTAATTCACCACTCAGAATAGACTGTAATCAAACACTTTTCACCTGATACAATCACTCAATATAACTTAACCTCACTTCATCACTATTCGTATTAAAATATATAATTACGATACAACTATAGAAAAAATATAACGTATTATTATAGAGATGTTATCGCGGCAATTTCTCACGCCACCCTTGCTGGTGGTGGTGCAAATTCCGTTTTTGCGAGGGGAGTTTTTGTTTTATCACGTGGCGCGTCTGTTTTCTGTCATAACAGCCTAATAGTTTGGGTAATGTTTCACCGTCGCGATGTCCTTGCGTTCATTCGTCTGGTGGCACTTTCACCCTCGCCTTCTTTTTCTTAATATCTTTTTGGGGTTTGGGATAAAGACGCGACAAACTTAATGGTTTGTTCGTGCGTTTATTACCGTAGAAAGCACTTAAACATTTAACATTTAACATAGGCAACCAAATAATAATAAAAAGTATTATTGGTTGCCTATATTAATTTTTTAGTTAACATTTTAATATATTCCGGATAAAATTTATGCAATTACAAATGCAAATTTGTTTCCATGGATGTTGAGCCATTACGCCATTATCAGATCGTGTTATCGTTGATGTCTTCTTGTTCTCCGGCAATGAAGTCCCCCCACGATTAGATAATTAAAAGTTACAACTTTGCCGATAAGTAATTACCCGTAATTCGGCTTGGTAATTTACCCCGTCGTATTTCTCCATCCCAACTCAATCCCTGGGTAGCCCTGAAACAGCCCGCAGCATCTTGGCATTGACATTTACATTCGTCTGCAACACGCACAACGCACGCGTACATTCCGTTCATTCACTGCCACTGCGATTGCGTTTCGAGGGTGGACCACCAAGGGGTGATGTTAGATATATGTGTGTGTGTGTGTGTAACGAGTACATTTGTATGTAACCCTGCACACACCAGTCGACCGCATTGTTCGGCAACACGTCGTACATCACTACACGCAGATGAATACAAATACATGCGAATACAAATGTTAGAGGGGTCTGTGCGTTGTGGCGGCGTTCGTTAGTAGCCACCAGCCAGCCGAGAATGTAAATTGCTTAAAGGGCGCAAGGGCGCGAGGGCATACCGCAGCAGGATGTATACAGTCGTGCCGAGACTTGTTAATTGGACTAATTTACTCGGGGAGCAGGGCGAAATGAAAGCTTTTTACATTATTCAAATATTCACGGTGGAATAAAAGCATTAGTAATAAAATATAACAATAGATGGCGGTAAAATACACAAAAAACATCAATTTTATCATTGTCTTTATTTATATATGTATATAGATATACAACAACAACATTCTAATATTTTTCTTTTACGTTTTGTTTCAATTTTTAATTTTTAGCAATTTTTGTTTTTACATTTCATTTAAATTACCATTTTTCTTAACTTTTTATTCATCATTCTTGTTGAATTTGAATTTATTTAATTTCCTCAGTGGTTTACATAATTTTTAATTAATTGTTTCAAATTGCTTGTGAATCTCATTTGGCTAGAAGTGATGTCGATATGTTTCGTTTCGTTTCGAATTCAGAATTCTGTAGACACTTGTTTTGACATTTGATATTTGAATATTTGAATCCATCTCTACATCGAAAAATAAAATCCAGTGTTAAAGTCGCTTTGTACAGAAACACACGTAGACGATTGTTAATCTTGGAAGAAATAGACATCGACAACTGTCATCTGTCAAAATTATACAATCATAACCTCATTTTAACAAAATCTATTTTCTGTAGTTGCGTGAGTAGATTTTACAATAATTTTACAGTAAATACACTTCACTTATTATTAATTACACTGTGTTCGCATTTGTTTCACCATTTCATCTATATTGTTACTAATATTTTGTATTTTAACTAAACTGTCAATCGGCTGTATGCACGTTTTGCTAGACTTCTGAGAATAGGCACCACTTGTCCGAAACGAACGCAAATCATTGAAATAATTACGCTTATGTCATAGGTCCTAGAGTAGAGTCTATTTAAACGCCTTAAACGTTAGAGATAATATTCGATGTGTGCGGGTTTCACTTACGACGACTGCTCGTCAAACAAGATCAAAACGAAAGGCATTTATTTTCGACTATTCACTCTCCTCCATTACAAATCAACGAATTTATTATTAATATTTAATAATCAGGGAAAAATAACAAAGAAAAAAAAAGCAAATATTATTGCTTCATTGAGTGTCAGTGTGCGACATTAGAGAAGAGCTTGTTTGAGGTTATGTCAACCTTACATCTAGCTGATTTTACACGACTGTACACTTATAAACACCTAATTGTATGTATTACGCGTAAATTACTTGTATTTTAGTTTATTTAATATAATTATTATGTAAAGTTACTCGATAACTGCTTATAGATATCCAGAGAATTTGTTTTTTATTTGTAATGAGTATTCAGAAGGCTAACTGTTTCATTTTGTAGGTTATAATTTACAACTTTGTACACTAGTGGATATAATAACAGTGAAACAACTGACGAACAGTGAAAAATACATCGATAGCATTCGCAAATCATAGTAGACGAAGCATGTAGAGTATAACTGGTTGCCTATCTTAAACACAGCTACATAAACAGTTTAGAGGTTAGATTTACGTGTAGAAGAATTAGAAATAGTCAACAGACACTCAATTCAATTCAAGCATTCCATATACATTCATCATTACATTCAGACATTAATCACATAATTACGCAATGCAATCAGGAACAATGTGGAGCATCTATAAACATGTCCGCGTTTTCTTGTTTTGTTTTGTTTTTACATTAGTTTTAATTAATATCTTCGTTTCGTTTTTTTTTTATTATTTTCTTGTTTCATTTGTTTTCTACCGAATAACAAATACATTTGTAATATAAGTAATTGTATTTCTGATTTTTTATAATATGTTAATCATCTTAATGAATTAATATTGAAGTACAGGGCGCCGTCTTTTAAATATTTTGTTCATTTAGAAATAACACTAACGCTGTGTATTGCACGTCGCAAACGAGTAAAACACTGAAAGAAGCATACACACAAAAACAACTCAAAAGTATTCAATCAATTTGGGTTGCATACATTGCATACATTACAATAATTAAACTTTGCAAAATAGAAGCAAGCGGTTATAGAGTATAATGTGTGATGATGTTCATTACATACTCACACTTATACGCGTTTTGTTTTATTGTTTTTAATTACACTTAACTTTAGGGGTAGTTTTTGTCTACCCGTGTTGTGTGTACCTAATTGTACCTAAACATTAGTAACAACAACTATACAGTGAGCATTTTCCGGAGATTTCAACCTTTCAACTGAATGCATTCGTTTGTTATTCAAAGCAAAAATTAATTCGAATAATCTTCGACCATACTGTATATAAATATACGCCAAGGATGATCAAAATGTTGCTTCTAGGTTAGTTTTAAATTTAGAAACGGTTTACATATTTTTGTTTTTTGTTTTCTTGGTTTCTTTAAACATCTACCGTAATATAATTATACATCCTATGAAAATTGACACACTATCGAGTCGAGAGAAAAACGCACTGAAAAAAAACCGAAAAATTGTTTATTTTGACACTGCGTCAAATTTTCTCCACTAAAACAACGAAAACAATCAACTAACATTTGATATCGCGTAAATCGTAAAGGAATAACATTTTGTAACACTTAACATCGTCGACTTAACCTAACCTAACCTATAAGTTATTTTCTATAAATGAAATTAAATCATTTATATATATTTTATGTATATATTTATATATGTATATATATAGATATGTCCGTAAATAGATTCATTTATATTTAATATTTCTTCGTTAAACGCGTACATTAAATATTTATATATGTTTGTTATAAATATTTAACGCTTTGTTTATTTAGTGTAATTTTTTTGCTAAAATATGCCTATGATCCTATGTTTTGTGGCCAATCAAAGGGCCTATCACCTTGTACACTTATGATATGTTTCGATAACAAGCGAGCCCGCGAGTGACGCGTGTGCGCATGCGCAATAGCGCACACACTCGCCGCGCCACAGCGCGTTAGCGGCTCTGATATGTATGCGATCTCAGTTGATATATATTTCTCTCGGCGTCGATCCCTGCCACTCGGTTGATATGTTGAGCGCAGAAGAGTCGATTCTGCGTCGAGATTGATATATATTTTAAGGATATGCTTAGTTACTAGACTTACTCACTATGCTTATAGTAAAAAGTAACAAAACAAAAACTAAAATCAAGTAATTAAACAGAAGCGTTAAACCTCACTTGTTAAAATCCTTTGCAAAATTAACACTCGTAAAATTTGTTGCGTCAACAAACTTAAAAATATTTACAGTGCCATTTCTTCTTTCCATGCGTTGGTGTAGTTTTCTTGAAATTGAAGGAACAACCGGTGTGATGATATCAATTTATGTACACTTTGAAGATTTAAAATTGAATAGAATTAAAGATAATAACTTAACACATTTTTGGTTATTAGAATTGTTATTTAAGAAGCACTATTTTTGTTTCACTGTGTTGAGGTCTGGATGCTTAGAAGCCTTGCCTGAAGGGATTACGCACCGTCGGCCCGCTGGGTTGTTGCATCTGTTGTGGTTCTTGTTGCCTGAATGGATTGGCTGGGTTGGCGTTTTGTTCGGGTTGCTGGGGCAGTGCTCGTCCACCGCCTTGCTGTTGATAACCACCGCCTCCTTGTTGTTGATAGTCTTGTTGGTATTGATCTTGCTGTTGATACCCGCCGCCTTGTTGGTAGCTGTAGTTGTATCCGTTCACTTCGTTGGCGTCTAGCGATGTTTCCTGTTGGCGGTACTCCAAATGATTTTGTATATCTTCGCCGACTGGTTTTTGATCCTGCATTGTATAAGTTTGGTATTCCTTGTTGGGCGGGTCTGCCATGAGGATATTCGCTTCGTTTTCGAATGGTTTGAAGTCGTAGATGTTGCGAAGGTAGTACAACACTGGAGCGTACATTAGATTGGAGAAAGCGATACCGATGTTTAGCGCTGTGAAACCGATGGCTTCGACCACGCCGCCGGCGATGATGGGTCCCACGGCGTATGCTACTGAATAGGAGATGTCTGCGATGGCGTAGATGCTGCCGTAGATGCTTACGTAACGCACGTCGACGAGGTATCCCAAAGTGGGTAGTAGTGCTGTGTCGATGAGGGCTATACCAAAGCATATCCCGCAAATGGGTATCATGAGCACTTTGTACGAGCTGGAAAATGGGATAAGGAAGCAGCACATGCCTTCCAACGCCAACCCGCCAGCTGCCATCAACCATTGATGCTGCGGATACTTTTTCGCCATTTTTACGGTTAAAATGACGCCAAAAACGTGCGGGAAAAACGCCGGCAGCCAAATCATACCAATCTTCCAATTGTCCGTGGTCATATTGTCTTCCATCCATAGCGAAATCGTTGGTTCCAAAAATGCCAGGGCCACGTTGGACATGGTCAGCGCCCCAGCGCAGCACGCGATGTAGGGATCCATCAACAGCCTCCAGATGGGCACCGAAGGAGGCTTGACCATTTGTGATTCTTTGATCTGTTGAGATATAGGCTTCATCACCAGGAGCAGCATGAAACCGTCCAGCAGGGAGACGAAGGCGAGAATAAGGAAAGGCATCTCCTTGCCGGCGAATTGATAAAGGGCTCCTCCGAATGGCGGCGCGACTAGACAACCGAAACTGATGAATGCCAACGCGATGCCCAGCGCTTTGCTGCGCTCGTTCTCTTCGGTGAAGCGGTCGGCGATCATCGCCAGGCCGGCTGTGTCGGCGAACGCCGAGCCGACGCCCTGCAGACTGCGCGCGAAGAACAGGAGGCCGTAGCTGCGGCCGCACGCGAACACTGCCGTCGAGAGGAACATGATGATGAGGCCGATCATCATCGGGATGTCGTAACCGATGCGATCGATGAGCGCCCCCGAAAAAGGGTTCACCATCAGTTGGACGATGGCCTTCGATGCGAAGAGGATCCCGGTGGCGGAATCTTGGCCGTGGTGGTCGTGCTTCCGCGGCGCGCCGGGCGGAAGCGTCACGTTTCCCGGCAGCGGTAACGGGTCATCCGTATACGCTCCAATATACCTCAAATAATCCGGAATGATTGGTACGATCACCATGTACAACATGTTATCCAACAGCAAAGCAATGGAAACGATGACCAGGATGAGTTTACGTTGTGCACTCGGTTCCTGCACCTTCGCCCAGAAGACCTCCTTGAACTCAGCCCACTCCATGTTGATGATTGGTATCCGCGTCCCCATTTTGACCTCGTCTTCAAGCTCGAGCTTGTCACAAGCACAAATCCACTTTGTTTCTAGCTTTCGACTTCCGATTTGATTCTATTCGGAATTCTTTGCGTGTACGCTTTTTTTGTTTTTGCTTAGGTGCGGGGGGAGCGCAGTGCCATCGGTTTTAACCTGGACATACAGAAGAGACAAACGTGTCAGACAGATTCGCAACAATCATTTTCTGCTATTTTAACTAAGTTTGAATTTTTTTAAAGAAAATTGCGAGACACTGCTGAGGTTCGAGGAGGGGAACCGGCACTGCGCTTCTTCCCCCCCAGCACCCCGCACACTTACAACTTGTACCAACAACCAACAACAATAATATAATAATCAATGATTTTCGTGATAAATTGAACCTTTTAGGCGGTTACGTAAATGGCGTGTGGCATTATTGATTTCGGCCATTTTGCTCTTCCGCCCGAACGCCGCCATTTTGCCGTATCGTGCAACGCGGCGTTTCTAAATTTAGATTCGATGGTTCAAAGCGGAGACTTTCATTTGCTCGCCCCCACCGCCCCCCGAAATTCGACGAAATTGTGTCATTTCGCGGCGACTTTAGTGTTATGCGATCGCGTGCACAAGTTCGCCAAGTGATTAGTGCGCGAGAATTCCTCCAGGTGTAGTAAAAGTGCTACCGGAGCGCCGCGCCACCGGCGAATCAATAAACTCGCGGGAGCGGACGAATGGGCAGCCGTGCGAGCCTTGACTCGCCGCCGCCGGTGGCGGAAACGCTTCTCGTATCAAATGTAGGCCATCGGATTCGAACCAAAGTATGGATTTTGTAATTAAATGTTTTCGTTACAAGTGCCTACTAAAAATAACCCTCATAGAAATCACTTTCTAAACACCAAAGATTTTTTAAAACTTTTTTTTTCTGATTTTGGTGATTTTTCTGTTTGTTTTGTGGGAATTTATTTTTTTTGTGGGTACTAACCTGTATCGGGTAGCGCACTGCCGATGCGCGTGGCAAAAAAGCCGCGAATGTTGTTGGCGACGCGCTGAGGTTGTTCGCCGAGCAGGCTGAGGCTGCCTCCCGGACCGTGCGGGCCGCTGCGAGTATCCACGGTGTCGGAGATGGTCGAAAACGCCGGAATGCTCGTAACACTTGGGGCCGTGCCGCTCTCACTCCCGTGAATTTCGTTCGTGTGTCGCGCGAGACGGCGGGGCGCTCGCACAGGGGATGGTCCGGGTGATCGGGCGCGCTTTGACCGGCCGCACACACCGCTATGGGCGCCGCGGCGAGCGCGCACCGCTGCCGCCGTCGCCGCCGCCGGTAGCAAGAGTGGGAGAAGGAAGGCGTTGCCGCGCCGCCGCCAGACCACATTCCGCAACGATTGGCGTAGAAAACGAGCGCGTCACTTTCCCGGGAGACCAATAATGACGCAAAGCGAGTGGTAGGGACGCCGCCACCGCCGCCACCCCATCTATAATGTATGCATACACCTAGACGGGTCTGTTGGCGGGGCGGGTATGGATTGGGGTCAAAATCAACACAAATCTAACTAATTCGGTCTTTTTGGGGTCGATCGCACTCAGGTCAGCGCATAACACGTCCGATGGGTGGAAATTTATTTTGGCAAATCACGGTAATTATATGAGTGTAATACGTTCCGAAATCGATAGGACATTTAGCGGGAGAAATCAATTACAATTTCGGAAACGATAAACAAATATTCACATGCGTTTCATTTTTTTTCCAATTTTCAATTTGCGCGAATATTCCGATTGTCGCTGGGTGAAACAGTCCAATTTCCTCAATAACTCAAATTGGATTTGTTCACATTTCTTGTCAAACGTGTGTAATTTAAAAAACAATAATACTTATTTTCTCAAATAAAATTTATATTAAACTGTTATCATAAAAAAGCTCACCTTGAACTTTGAGCAAAAAACAGCCACAAAAAATGTTTCTCTTGTGAGTATGGTCGTCATCGTTGAAAATTAAAGCATCGCGACGGGATTTCTCACATAATATGCGTCCTTTCGCATTTTCCTCAAGAGGATTATATCCTCTTGCGTTTTTTGCGCCGACACTCGTCAAAAACACTCCAAAGTGATCATTTTTCTTATTTATTTTTTTGTTTACTTCACCCACTGTCAACTGATCATCACATTTCACATTACGCACATTACTTTTATGTACAATCACTAAATCTTTATAATTTAATTTCTCATATTGTTTTAAGTCATTTTTATTTATTTGCACCACTTTAAAATGCATTTTTTCTTGTTTTAATTAACTTGTAATGCGTTTTTATCGTGTCTAAATTGTATAATTTTAACTAGATCAGTCAAGTCTAGTTAGTGCAAACAATGCACTCGACATACTACACTTAGCACACTAATGCGATTACTAATTAATAGTTATAATTACTTGTTGTTGAACACAACACAGGTAGTAGTTTACTTTTCAATTTTTAACATGTTATTTAAACATATTAAAATTGAATTGAAAATATTTTATACTATCTACAATCACTTGTAGTAGAAGAGTATACGAGTAGGTTGTAGTCTTGTTTAATTAATTTCATTTAATTACTAACTTGCGTAATTTAATCAATACCTGCCGATGTCAATGTCGCTTACCTCACCAATCGTAAGTAATGTAAGGTCAATAGCAATTTGCGTTTACCTGCGCTTCTTTTCAACGAAACAATAATACATAACACGAAACAGAATGACAGGAAAATCAACAAAAACCACTAAAAAGGAAACAATCTACATCTACCATCAATTCTAAGTGCGGGTGTATATTTAGTGTTTTTATTGAATTGATTTATGCATAAAAAATAGATTTAAGAATAATAGTGGTTTTTACGTTGGTAATGCATTTTTTAACCTCAAATCTACGATTATTTGAAAAAATTCAGAAATATTATAAGTACTAGCTTTTGCCCGCGACTTCGTCCCGGTAGTGTTTAATAAAAATGTAATTGGTTTTACTCTCTTGTTCTAGACATAGTATGTGTCAATTCTATCAATAAGATTCGCAATTTTATTTTAAAGAAATTAATTATATAAAGAATTGCTAATAATGCACTTCATCGCGCCATCTCGGATTCAACTATTTAATTATAACTATGCTTGAATCTCAATGCCAACTTTTATTCAATAGAAAAGGGCTGTCTTTAGGGTTTTCCTAGCAATAATTCGAATTTTTCTCCCCGTAAAAACCATCCTTGGACTTTAACGAACATATTGAAATAAAAATTGGCCAAATTGGTTTTGGCGTTCTTGAGTTATGCGCTTACCAACACATTTTGCAATTCATTTTTATATTATAGATTATACGGTATAAAGTGACAAGTCATAATATAACACCGCAGAAAATTGCTGTAAGCTGCGTAAAACGACAGAAATGAGGCATGAAAGATTCCGCACTCGATTGATTTCGCCACGGTGTATTGAACACTATATATCAATACAAACCGTTTAATCTTTAATCAAGCGTGGAGTCTATCACAACGTTCGAGATTATCCCAACTCACCCTCTTTACTACTGCCTATTTTATTTATATTTCCAATTCATAGATGGCATTAATAAAATTAATAAAAAATTATATTTTTGGGTAACTAAATAATTTTGTAGTTTTTTGTAACAATTTAACGAATGTTAGTGGTGTTATCCTGTTAAAAGGATCCTAGTTCGATTTATGTTCCAATTTGAGTTTGGCTCCCTGCCAGGTCAATTTCTGCCCATTTTTTGGTCGATTTCTCCATGTTGGAGACGTCTAGACCTTTCAATTCGTTTTTTGTGCACTCAAACATGAATTTGTTCTTAATCCCTTCTAAAAGTTCCAATTTTTAAATTGTATTTATTTTCTTATTTATTATTCATTGACATTCCACATACACACATACATTGGAAGTTACATTAAGGGTGGTTGATAAGGGTTTGTTTGTGTGCGGGTGCGCGCGAGCTATAAATATGTATGCGGCCGGTATTACGAGGGCATTAGACGGAGACCATACTACGACTACCTTTGCTTAATGTCAGCGTTGCTTGGGGTATAAAGGTGCGCACCCTCTTTCTGCGCCCCCCGTTTGGCATTGCGTTTGTTATGCATTAGTATTAAAGCCGGCACGCGGAGAAGCAGCGGACGAAAATAGCTTTCATTCAGAGGGTGCATTCAAGGGGGTGCATTTTATATTCGCGCAACACTCGCGTATATGTTTCTTGTAAACTATCGTATTAGAAACGGTTTCGGTGATTCTGGTGTTGATGTGTTGGTAGATATGAGTAAGAATACGAAATGTCATAACATTTACGTGAAAATTTATTACAATTGTGATTTATATCATTAATATATTTATAAAATCAATGTTTTGTGGCAATACAAGATATACAATCAAAGTAACAGTAATTTTGTGCTTTTATTGTGCTTTGGGTTGCCTACAACGTTTGGTATTAGAGAATTGAAGTGAAAATAAAAACTAACAAAAGATACATAACCTAGAGTTTGTGTTACATGAGAAAACAATACGCACAATGCACAAGGTTGAGTGTAAACAATATTTGTACGCTCTACTTGTTTGCGAGTTTCCTGCGCTTGAGAATTCTTCGTTTTGTTTTGTTCAACTACCGCTGTGCTATTCTCCGCGCTCAGATATGCACCCTTTGCGTATGCCATTCGCATCGGTTGTCGGAGCTGCGGAAAGCTCCCTCCAGAACTCTCAGGGAAAACTCCCAGTGGGCTTAGGAACTTCGATTCTCTGGTGGCTATAGGATTGCGTCTAGTTCGTGACGATCATGCACTGAAAACTTTCAAACCCAAGAGAATTATAAAAAATTTATACTACACTCAACATTTTTCATCTTTTATACTCCATAATAGGCAACACAACCTACAAAAACCATAAATATTATTTTGTTCATTTGGTTGCCCATAGTAAATTTAAATTTAATATTTTGTTGGTCCATTATTACACGTAAAATTCGCTAATTTTAATTACGCTCGTTACGTTCTGTTGATTTGCTAATGTTGCGTTCGCGTTCATTAGACGGACGCACATTACGCGCGTTGCGTACTCACTCCCTTGTCGTGCCGCAGCGCTGATGATAATTAGATGATGAAATCGAAATTTAATTCGAATTAACGTAAATTATCGACTGCGAGCCGGAGACAATTCGTCGTTAGTTGCAGCGCTGCTCGTTAAATCACAAAATGCGCTTGAAATTACAGACGCTAGGGGAAAACAAATCGAGCGGCTCGTCACGATTGCTCTCATTAGTCACTACATGTCAACATCACACACAATTAACAGAAATCATAACTTCATATCCTTATTTTGGTTATTTTTGAACCAAACAAATAAAAAATTTATATATTCATGCGTTTTTGTTCTTGTTGCAACGACTGCACCTCATTAATATTACATTTCCATGCGCAGAATCGCACAAAGTAGTGATTTATAGCGCAGACGTCATCGGTCCGCTTTTCTTACACACGAGTCCTCGGACACTCTTCTGCGCTTCTCTGCTTGATTACACACGCCTGCGAAACGAAATTGGAATTAATAAAGCACGAACTGTTGCTCATCGTGCCCACACGACTCTCAAACTGTTGTGCGTTCGCGCAATCGAATTAAAAATAAGTATGAAGCAAGCACACGAGTTGATAACACTGAGAATGGAAACATAAACATAAAACGGCCGTAAAATATGAATTAAAATCGAGTTTGTAAACGGATGCACGACGATTATGATGTCTGATAGATTCTGAAGATGAGAGATCGTCATTAAAGTGTCTCCGCTATTGTTTTATAGGCGTAAGACAATATTGTCGACTAAGGTCACACTTTCGATCGTTAAAACGTCAACGATCAAGAGGATTCACAGACGTAACAAATTATATCAGATTCCGTTCAGAAAATATTGATTACATTCATGTGGAATTGACTTAAGTATAGAATACGGTTCAGAGTTGGTAAATCTGGGCCAACAATCACAAGAATTAGCAATTGCAGCGACAGTAATCTCGACAGATGAAAAATAACCCATTTACACGCGTGCAATTCACTTGGTGTGCGCTTTTGTTGCGAACAATGATCGAAAACAAGCGTCGAAGCAAC